ACTTTATTTTATTGAACTTTTTTAGCCTACAATGCGATTTTTCCACATTTCATTAGCTTTTTTCCAGAAAAATTCTCCACAATTTTCCTCTTCTGATTATAATTAGAAAGTAGGGTTGTACCTTAGGCATTTATCTTTTATCCAATCTAATTTGTGTAAGATTTACATTTGGAGTTGGCAGTAAATCACAGCTTTCCAACATTTATCCTCCATTCAGCTTTTGGCTTGACTTTGGCTTGACTTTCTTGACCATATTAGAATGCCGTTGATGTATTTGAAGCTTTATTTTAACAAGAATTCAATCTGTGCATAAGTACAGGTGAAACTCAAAAAATTAGAATACTGTGCAAAAGTTCATTTATTTCAGTAATGCAACTTAAAATGTGAACCTAATATATGAGATAGACTCATTACATGCAAAGCAAGATAGTTCAAGCCATGATGTGTCATAATTGAGATAATGATGGCTTACAGCTCATGAAAACCCCAAATCCACAATCTCAGAAAATTAGAGTATTGTGAGAAGGTTCAATATTCTAGGCTTAAAGTGTCCCACTCTAATCAGCTAATTAAGCCATAACACCTGCAAAGGGTTCCTGGGCCTTTAAATGGTCTCTCAGTCTGGTTCAGTAGGAATCACAATTATGGGAAAAACTGCTGACCTGACAGTTGGGCAGAAAACCATCATTGACACCCTCCATAAGGAGGGAAAGCCTCAAAAGGTAATTGCAAAAGAAGTTGGATGCTCCCGAAGTGCTGTATCAAAGCACATTAATAGAAAGTTATGTGGAAGGAGAAAGTGTGGAAGAAAAAGGTGTACAAGCAGCAGGGATGACCGCAGCCTGGAGAGGATTGTCAGGAAAAGGCCATTCAAAAGTGTTGGGGACTTTCACAAGGAGTAGACTGAGGCTGGAGTCAGTGCATCAAGAGCCACCACACACAGACGGATCCTGGACAAGGGCTTCAAATGTCATATTCCTCTTGTCAAGCTACTCCTGAACAACAAACGTCAGAAGCATCTTACCTGGGCTAAAGAAAAACAGAACTGGTCTGTTGCTCAGTGGTCCAAAGTCCTCTTTTCTGATGAGAGCAATTTTTGCATCTCATTTGGAAACCAAGGACCCAGAGTCTGGAGGAAGAATGGAGAGGCACACACTGCAAGATGCTTGAAGTCCAGTGTGAAGTTTCCACAGTCTGTGTTGATTTGGGGAGCCATGTCATCTGCTGGTGTTGGTCCACTGTGCTTCATTAGGTCCAGGGTCAATGCAGCCGTCTACCAGGAGATTTTGGAGCACTTCATGTTTCTTTCCGCAGACGAGCTTTATGGGGATGCTGACTTCATTTTCCAGCAGGACTTGGCACCTGCCCACACTGCCAAAAGCACCAAACCTGATTCAATGACCATGGGATTATTGCGCTTGATTGGCCAGCAAACTTGCCTGACCTGAACCCCATAGAGAATCTATGGGCTTTGCCAAGAGAAAGATGAGAGACATGAGACCTAACAATGCAGAAGAGCTGAAGGCCACTATTGAAGCATCCTGGTCTTCCATAACACCTCAGCAGTGCCACAGGCTGATAGCTTCCATGCCACGCTGCATTGAGGCAGTAATTGCTGCAAAAGGGGCCCAGACCAAGTACTGAGTACATATGCATGCTTATACTTTTCAGAGGTCCAATATTGGTCTATGTACAATCCTTGTTTTATTGATTGCATGTAATATTCTAATTTTCTGAGATTGTGGATTTGGGGTTTTCATGAGCTGTAAGCCATAATTATTGCAATTATGACACATCATGGTTTGAACTATCCTGCTTTGCATGTAATGAGTCTTTTTCATATACTAGTTTCACCTTTTAAGGTACATTACTGAAATAAATGATCTTTTGCACAATATTCTAATTTTTCGAGTTTTACCTGTATACGCTCTGGCGTTTTAAGTTCTCAGCTGTTTCTTCCTGTCTTTTCAAGTTAATGGATATTTGTTGGTTAACTTGGACGGCTGAGATAGGTTTATATATCAAATCTTTCTGTCCATTGGGAACCATTTATTCTTACTCTATCATCTTTAGCTCTTAGCATTTCCACTTTTCATTGAAATTAGATATTCTGGAATTTCATTCCAAGCTTGCTACTCAGATAGAAAATGTGTTATATTCCCTGGATTTTCATTGGGCAATTGTATCTCATTAAAAGTCTTTTTCTAAAGCTAAGCATTTGTGTTTATATTACAAAGTCTCAAACTATAAAATGGTTGGTCATAATGTTTATCAAGTATATATTTGACTAATGGCAAATTTAAATGTTTTGCCCTTATCTAGAAGTATACCCCAGTAGTATATTCATTTGATGCTTATTTTCTGGAAAATATGTTTATTTTAATTATGTTTAATTGTCAGGCATATATAGTCACATATGTATATTTTTGGTTATATGTTCACATATCTGAATAATTTGTTAATAACATGGTAAGTCTTTTTAGAGGAGGACAAAAAATTCAGCTACTCTATTTAAAAAACAGAGAAACCTGTACCTAAGGTTTATTATACCCAGTATAGTAAACAAGGAAAAACTTATCTCTGACAATTATCCATCTGAGATAGATACATTTTAATTTGAAAAAAAAAACTTGCATGCAACAAGTGACTAGCTTCTACTATAGCTTTCTTTTCAAGAATGACTCAAGTGTTACATAGATCTGAAACTGATTCTTAGAAAATAAACAAACAAGATTAATAATATACCTGTTTAAAATATGCATATATATGTCCAGAAAAAAAGACGAAGTTGCACACCTGAAATTTCCCAAGATTTAGATGGGTTGGTAAGAAGCAACTTCAATAATTTCCCTTCTGGTAAATGGGTATTTATTGAGCAGGGGGTTGGAGTAGAAGACCTTTAAGGTCCCTTCCAGCTCTATTCTGATTGATTGATTGAGTGGTCTTATTCTCCATACCGGCCATTTTATTAATGAGCAAAGCTAGGACTATCGTATCTTGACTTTTATAATCTGGACTGAGTGGCAGTAAAAATTACTTTTTTGGTCATCTGGATTTCTGCAATAAAGTAATGATGACTCTACCATATCTCCTTCCACATAGTGACCATTTTGTGCACTACATGCTTTAACATTCCAAAAACCGTGATCCAAAAAAATTACCTATCATTTCATGCCTTAAAGAATAAGCTCAAATATGGGCTCTGGCATTTGCTTGAGTGAAGCTATCATCCCATTATAGGGAGTCTGGGTCTTATAAATAGAGGATTATAAATTGTTCTTTCTCCTCAAAGGCTAGGAAATCATATGACTCTAATAACAACTATCATACAATACTGATCGACAGTCGTTTTGCATTAAAAAGCTGTTCTTTCATCTGAAGCCATCCCACTCTTCTAATACATGACTAAATAATATAATTATTCCAGCATTACTGAGAATGTCTTACCTTTTCCACAGATTTCAAATGGAAAACATGCTTTCTTCTCATTTCTACCTAACAGAAGTCTGAAAACATTTAGAGCTCACCCATTTATTCATGTGAATTCACAGCAGTTGACTCACAATGTCAATAAACAAGTTAAAGGATGTATTTATGTCATCCAAAACTAAACCATTTGGTTGAAGAGGAAATATATACTTTAATTTTACTTCCATGATACATGTCTTCTTAATATCTTTGTATCTGAAATTACTTCTGTACTGATCTATTACTGTTGTACTGATTGGAAACTGGGACCTGCAACCTATGAAAAAATTTGGAAAGATGGTTAGTTTTTTTGGAAGTTACAAAGAGATTGCTTTGAGGTTTAGATAACAAGACTACAACATTTGGTTAATGAGCTCTGGGAGTAAAATGGTGGCACGGACATGCTCCTTAAATGAATTTTCTGACTGTGTTGCGCAACTTTTTATCCAGTTTCTAATAAAACACTGAATGGGGCTGATACTCAGCAACCCTAAAACCACAGCCATGAATCTATTGTTTACTCATTTTCATTCCAGTAATTGTTTCAAAATAACATGGAGCAAAGGATTTAATCCAGATTTTAAAGATCTTTCTGAATAAGCCGATTATATTTTATTCCTTCTTGCCCAACAAATTTGTGGAAATACTGTCATCCAGAAGCCAAAATATTTCTTTCTTTGCTATTCCAGTATAAATATTCCTAATTAAATCCCAAACCCACTTTGCAATGTCAGCTCTCCGTGATCCTAGATATTACGAGTAATCCTTGATTTATGATCACAATTGAGTCCAGAATTTATGTTGCTAAGTGAGAACTTTATTAAGTCAGTTTTGCCCCATTTTACAACTTTTCTTGCCACATTTGTTAAGTGAATCACTGCAGTTGTTAAATTAGTAACACGGTTAAGCGAAACTGGTGTCCCCATTGATTTTGCTGGTCAGGTCACAAAAGATGATCCCATGACCCCGGGACACCGCAACTGTCATAAATATGAGCCAGTTGTCAAGCTGCCAAATGTAAATCACACGACCATGGGGGAAATGCAGCAACCGTCATGAAATGTGAAAAAGAGTCCTAAGTGACTTTTTTCCGTGCATTCTAACTTCGGTCACTAAAGGAACTGTTGTAAGTCGAGGACTGCCTGCCTATCAGGTCGAGATGTGGCTGGAAGTTGCTCATCAACCTGGCCCAGACCTGGATAAGGCAAAGGCTCTTTGACACCAAGATGGACTCGAAAGTATATAACAGGGATCCCCAAACTTGGCAACTTTAAGACGTGTGGACTTCAACTCCCAGAATTCTCCAGCCAGTTGCCAAGTTTGGATACCTCTGATCTAGAATAAGGGGTTGGGATCTCTGTACGCCAACGGTTAAAATCCGTTCCCCACTCACGGGCCGATTATCGGCCTGTAGACCCAGCGGCCGCTCTTCTCGTCAGAGCAACGCGGCCCGCGGAGATCACCGGGCGCCATTAAGGCGACGTCAGGTGACGTCCACTTCAACGGGCCAGCGCGAGGAGTGTGACGTGTCAGAGTCCCAGAATTCCGCACGGGAGGCTTTATACCCGTGGCGGTTCGGCGGCCGGTGGTGCCGAGTCGACGAAGCCAGGTAATTCCGCCTCCTCGCGCTCCCTCGCCCCTCCAGCCTTTTTTTTTTCAGTTGCCTAGCAACCGAGGCAGCCGCCAGGCGAAGCGCGGGCCCTCAGTTAGCGCAGGCCTGGGCCAAGGGTGTAGTGGTGTGGACGCGGTGGCACGCTTGGGTGAATGTCGCCTTCCTGGATGACAGCTGTCGTTAGTGCCATTTAACTTCTACGCCCGGAGAGCCGGGATGTCGTAAGCGCTCGCCTCTGCGGATGGGATGAGACCTGTCGCAATCACGGCAACAAAGCCCTGCTTGCCGTTTGTGTCTTCGTGCACTTTCTGGGCTTCGCAAATTCTTCCGACCAGGTTCACGAGAAAAACGGGTCCTCGTCAGCTTAGCATGTCACCTAACCCGAGGAAAAATCCCCGATTTCTCTTTCTAAGCGGAGACACCACCTCACCATCCCGCGAAGTGTATATGGGGGTGAACCGCGTGCTTGGCTAACCTTTCGGAAAAAAAAGGCTGTAGGAAGAATCTTGAAAAATTAAATAACTTCATTTTACAAACAGTCGGATAAAGCCTGCTTCTTAAACTCGGTGCTGGTGAACTGTGAGAGGGCCTGTTAATAGCTGTTTGGAAAAACTGGTTCTCTCCCCTCACCCCAATTAAATTGGATATTAAGCGAGAAAGGGTGAGAAGCTTGTGGACATCCTTCTAATCTTGAGCTACCCAATTTGGGGTTCAATCATCTAGACAACCACTAGATCATGGATCTTCAGACTTGACAGCTTTAAGACTTGTGGACTTCAACTCCCAGAATTCCTGAGCTAACATGACCGGAAGAGGAATTCTGGGAGTTGTAGTCCACAAGTCTTAAACTTGCCAAGTTTGAAGACCCCTGCACTAGATGAGGACAGAGGTGGGGGTCTATATCCTTTTGCTGCCATCTCATGATTCGGTGGCTTTTTATAGCCCGGATATAGTAGCTCAATTTTTCTGCCAAGAAAGGCATTGCTTTCTTGTTAGTGAAATGTATCTTGCAGCAACCAGGATGCCCAATGGAGAGTGAAGCTGGGAATTTAATTCAACGTATGAGGAAAAAAAAGTTACCAACTTTCTCTTACTCAGGGCAGCTCTTCAGGCATTGCAACTGAAAGTTACTGTTGCACAGATTAGTAAAGATAGTGGTGTAGGTAAGATTGTCTTGCTCACAATGGTGTCTTCCAGATGTGTTGACTGCAATTCTCATCAACCTGAAATAATATTTAATGGGAATTTTGTAATCTTGTACGCTTGAAGACCGCCACATTGTGGAAGAAATTATCTACTTTAGCATTCAATTGAGGTTGAATGACGTATTATTCAGGAGTTCTTTATTCTTTTGTATATCATCTAGTATTGGAAGTTTTCTAAACAGGTGTAAAGCAAGATGAAAAACCAACGTACATCTACTCAAGTACTACTGAATATATAAAATTGTATATGATTGCTGCTTTTAAAGCTTTCAGAGAACTCATCTAACAAAACTGCTTGTATTGTTTTAACATCAGTTTCAATAATCAAACAATAAAGTAAACAATAAAATATTAGAATATGCTTTCCTTTAACTGAGTCAGTTACAGTATTACATTTTTGAAACATTTGGAATGTATCTGTATGAATATATTAATGGTTGGCTGATTTTTGGTTGGTTGATTTTTCACATTGTTTTGTTATTACTTATTACATTACTTATATTTATTATTGACATTTAATATATGTGTTCATTTACTGCTGGGAGTCCTCTTAGTAAATTACAGGTAGTCATTTAATGACCACTCATTCAGCAGCCATTCAAACTTAAATGACAGGACTGAACCACTGGAACTACAACCAGTATTAATATATATATATACTGGTAGAGATAGAGAGAGTTGGCTTTATGTTACCAAGATTCCTATCCACATCATAGGCATTATCAATTGAAATTGATTTCAGATCTGGGTTTGATAATGAGGCAAGTTTGATTGCTTTGGTGAATGATCTTATTAAATGGAAGAGTACATTTCTGTTGCTTTTCCCCAACCTTTCAGTTGTGTCCAGTTGGGTCAACCATAGTATCCTCCTGGACTACATGACAGAGGAGATTTTAAAAGGGGAGTTCTACCGGTATCTAAAGATCAAGATAATGACAAGTTGATAAAAAAATCTGATACTTCTTCAGGTGTCTACCATCTCTAAGTTATTAAGGCCTTGAGACAACTGTAGCATCTTGAAGTATATCCAGAAACAAATAAATAATTAGTATAGTGCTTTTAGAATAGGCACAAAAGTAATCATATTCTATTTACTGTTCTGTTTACTTAATGATTTTTTTGTCATTTTCAACAGAACTGTAAAATCTGAGACTAGCAACAAAACTAGAAATACAAACTTGGAAATCACTTGGTAAAATTTATTCACAAAATAGTGAACTTAGTGTAGACTTCAATAAGGGAAGAGTTGACAAAAGGGAGAATATCTTTTAAGTAATGAATTGTGTCAGTTGCGATATACTCTATATCACGGGTGTCAAACTTGATTGTATCATGTAACATATGAATTTTTGGCCTTTACGGAGCCAGGGTGGACATAGTCAGTGGGTGATGCATCTGGCCCATGGACCTCCAGTTTGACAGGCCTGGTCTATATAAAGCATGTAGGATTAGGTAATATTAGACACCTGTGACCTATGGGTCATCATTTCAGAGATATTTCCTTACCAAAAACCTCACCCCCTTCAAGAATGGTAGTTTCTAATATACTTGAAAAGCTCTTAAAAATCAGGAAGGTATTTAGAGATAGATCTGTTTTAAAAATAGTCCATGTTGAACTATATAGCACACTCAAATATCAAAAGTTGATCAAAGGAAATGTTTTCTGACATTTTGTATTAATGTCATAAAATACTTTATGATAATGTTTATGTCATCAATTCCACAGGACTTCATTTTGGACTCATTTTGTAAGTTTGCCCATAACTTGGTTCAAAAATTGTTGCCCTATGATGCACTGTTTTGCCTGGTCATAGATTACACACAAACAAACAGAGTTTTAGTAGTCTATATAGATAGATGTGATTGAATAGGCATAGCTCAGAGTTTAATGCAAACTGAGCAAACATGTAATGCCATAATGATTTTGGGGGGTAAAACTACTGGTAGTCCTCAACTTGCGATCACAATTGAGTCCAAAATTTCCATTGCTAAGCAAGTCAGTTGTTAAATGAGTTTTGCTCCCTTCTATGACCATAGTTGGTGATTTGCCATAGTTAAGCAAATCACTGCAGTCATTAAGTGAATTTGGCTTCCTCCATTGACTTTTCTTGTCGGAAACTGACTAGGAAGGTTACCAACGATCACATGATCCCAGGACAGTGTGATTATCATAAGTACCTACCATTGCCAAGCACCCAAATTTTGATTACAGGACTGTGGGAATGCTGGAAACTGGTCGTAAGTCACTTTTTTCAGTGCCACTGTAACTTCCAACTTTAGCAACAGCAATACCACTTAGGCTTATATACCGCTTCACAGTGCTTCTCAGCCCTCTCTAAGAAGTTTACAAAGTCAGCTTATTGCCCCCAACAATCTGGGTCCTCATTTTACCCACCTCGAAAGGATGGAAGGCTGAGTCAACCTTGAGCCTGGTGAGACCCGAACTGCCAAACTGCTGGCAGCCAGTGATCCGCAGAAGTAGCCTGCAGTACTGCATTCTTGTAATCACTGCGCCATTGCAGCTCTTCAGCACCACAGTAACTAAACAAAGGGTTATAGATCAAGAATTACCTGTATATTATATTTTTCAGCATGCTTAATTTGATATCTAAATGAAACATCAAGAGGTGGAAAAATCTGTGTCTGAAGTGATTGGGTGAATATCATATACCCAAGAGGCTATAATGGTTGAATAGACAACCACCTAGACATGTAATAGGTCCTTATTTGTCTAGTTTTTCTTCTCAATATAAAGAAGATCCTAACTTGGTACTATTTATTAAAGTCGTCCCAAATATTTTCAGATAGCAGCATCTGATCATCTTCAGAACCACTCTTCTTACTCTGGAGAAGTAAAGTTGTCTTGTCATGGAAACATGCAACACTGACTCAATAAGGCAAGGGTTTGTAGGCATGTCATCATTATACTAGTAAATAATCTGCAGTCTTCATTCCAACTTTGGAATTGAAAAGAATTATGTGGCTGCTAAGATGTTCCAGGCCTAAACATTGTAGTATTAAAGTAAAGAGAAAATGTAATTATTCATCAGATGGAAGCTGTAGCTTTATGTGAGAACTGCAATTGTTTGAAATAACAGGTATGGACTCTACCCAGGGAGATAATGTATTTTTTTAGCGTACTTTATTGTCATTGCACCTCGTACAACTAAATCAAATACCATCTTCAGTGCACATCATGACCATGACCATGAAAATAAACACAAACACACATCCTTCACACTCCACACATTGAACCAAAACCCCCGACGCCACACCAATACTGCACTATACAGCAGAATTCAAAAGAGCTACTGTCCTGGGATAGAAGCTGTTTTTCAGCCTATTTGTCCTTGTTTTTATTATTCTGTACCATCTGCCAGATGGTAATAGTTGAAAAAAAGGGTTCCCAAGATGAGATGGATCTTTGAGAATGTTTTGAACTTTCTTAAGGCAGTGGGAGCTATAAAGCTCTTCCAAACAGGGAAGAGGGCAACCAATGATCTTCTGGGCAATGACATTAACCCTCTGGAGTGCTTTCCTATCTGCCACTGTATGAGGTGCAGAGGTGCAGTATGTTAAAATGCTCTCTATGGTGCAGCGGTAGAAGGTCAGCAGCAGTTTATCATTCAGTTGTTGTTTTCTGAGAAGTCTCAGGTAGTATAATCTCTGCTGGGCCTTTTTGACCAGGGCTGCAATGTGGGCACTTCAGGTCAGGTCCTCTTTTATGGTAACACCCAGAAACTTAAAACTGGCCACTTGCTCCACTCCGTCTCCATTGATAAGCAAGGGCTGGATGTCTGATCTGTTCCTTCTATAATCCACTATAAGCTCCTTGGTCTTATTGGTGTTGATACTGTCTCCACACCACGAAAGCAACTGGCCCACCTCATCTCGGTAGGCAGACTCATCCCCCGCCTGGAGATAAGTCCCACCACTGTTGTTTGTTTATTACAATTGTTTGTTTGTTGGAATTATTTCCATAAAGCTCCATTCCAAAATGATCCCTGGTGAGTAGTATGTTACTCTGGTGGTTTCCAGTAGTGTTAAAAAAATCATAAAAAGGCAATTAAAACTCAGTTAAAATATCCAATTAACAGCATCACCTCTCAGCAACCAATCTCAATCATCTCCTTTTATAAATTCTGTAAATTGAGACTTGAATGTTTCTTAATTACATTTTGTGTATTTTACCAAATGCTGCCTACAATGCAATTTAGATTTCTATTATGAATTATTACTAGCGATACCTTTTGCATTATGAATGTTTTAATAAACTCTGTTTTCAGCATTATAAAGTATAATATATTTAATGACTTGGAACAATATCTCAAACTAAGTCATCTGATATGTAGCATAGTGCTGATCATCATATAGAGAAAACAGGAGTGGGGACACTTAGATACATTTGTACGGAGTTCCCCTCTCCCACTAAAATCCCTAAAGTGAGGCAAACTCCCCAAACAGCCCAGTATGGGAGACTATGGAATCTTGGTGGATAGAAAAAGGATAGAAAATAGAAAATATGGTAATAGTAGAATGCAGTACCTTGGAAACAAATATTACTGCCTAAAACACTTAGCTGGAACATTCCTGGTATCATGTATCTGTATGTTAGTCTTCTCTTTGTGTTTGGGTCCAGTTAAAACTTCTTAATGGAACAATTCTAGCGAATATATGCTGTTTCTAATTTAACCCAGACTGGCAAACTGCCAGTTAGGTAGTCATCCAGGTGAGAAAGAATAAGCTCCAGGCAACCAGTTTTTGAAAGCTAGAGAAGAACTCACATGCAAATAGTTTTGATAACTATATGAAAAAGAGTGGATTAGTACAGGTATTTTTGTAGCTTGCTCATGTTAAATATTGTGAAACTAACTCAGTCTTCTCAGTCATCCAATAATGATAAATCCAAATGGTGTTATGAACGAAGGGAAAAAAATAAATATAATCTTATTTGTGTGCTCTGTTCTAGATTTTACTTTTTATTGTTGGCGATGTCCATTATCTTGTCTGCCTCAGTGGTCCGTGTGAGAGATGGACTCCCTTTATCTGCTTCTACTGATTATGAGCAAAACACAGCTGTACAGGAATGCCGAAAGTACTTTAAAGGTCTTGCAAAGAGACTCACAGAGCTTCCAGACCGATGCACCTTACAAGCAGGAAAGTATAACATAAAGTAAGTTTTCTCTGGCATGTGTATTCTTTCTGCAACATTGTTCTTTAATGTTTCATATAACCTAGATACAGTAGTTGCTCTAAATAACAATGAAGAAGGCATCTTTTTGCCACAGTGACATTTAGAAATTACATTCTTCTTAAGAAGCATTCCTCCTCAAATCTGCAAATCTATTATGCTTACCTGCAGAATAAGGTAAGCATAATTTTTAACTTCTGCTAGAACAAGGAGCTAAAGAGGCAGGGCAATCCTTTTGAGGAATGTTACTTATCACAGATTGAATTGCCCTGATGATTTCTGTAGAATCATTTTAAGCAAGATTCTTCTGGGCCCATCTCTTATGTCTCACATATTGAATCTTTGGACAATACAGGACCCGACATAAAAAACTGCTTCATTGCATGCTAACTTTGTTAACTGCAGTGTTATCTATAGCAGCTCTTATTGTAGACTCGATTGTATCTTTTACATTATTTAAAGAAAATAACTCTCTTACACATCTTAACCTTATGTTTTATTGTACCAATATTATATTTTGAAATGTTTATTTATAAAGAAAAACCAAGGGAATTTTATAAAGGCTTTGTGTTCCTAAAAGGCATCTTCTTTATTATTTATAAGAAGAATACACTGGGTATTCCAATCTCCCCATTTTTCTGTACTATTATATTTTTGTAATTCTTTAAAGATGGGAGAGGCAGATAGTATATTTTTATAAGATGTGCTACATATTTTTAAGATGAAGTGTCCCCTAGGTTAGATTTTTTCAACAAAATAAATGGGAAAATCTGTGTAATTCTGTGCAAAGGAATGTAAATTGCCTCTATAGAATATCTCATTTACATGCAAAGATAGAATATCTCATTTACATTCATAACTCTGCATTTGATTGATTCAACCTTAATACAATATATAAATTTCCTAAGATACTTCTGATAAATTCTTGATGTTTCAGAAATAAAACATTCCTTAAAAAGCAAGCAAATGTATCAGCATAATTATTTCAGCAATGTTTAATATATGGCATATACATAAAATTGTCTTAGAATTGCTGTTTTGGATGCATAAGAAAATGATGGATTAATGGATTATTGTAATGGAATTTTTAATAAATGAAGAGCATAAACAAATGCTAAATTTTAATTAGAAGGCAGATTTTTACATTTTATAATAAGTTTACTTAATGTCTTTGCTGGATTCTGATGAAGAGGCATCCTTGCTAGAAAAATATTTCACTCTCTCTCACTCAGTAAAATAATTATGTTGACCTTTTTTTGTTATGGAATGAAATAGATGCGTAGTTAAGAATAACTGATAAATAAAATATTTTGAAGACCATAGCCTTTATCTATTTCCTCTCTTCCTCTCTGAAGGGGAAACACCCATCTTCATTCTTCTGATGTCTTAAAGTATATTTGTATATGAGAGAGCAAGTGAGATACATATCATGCTACAGCCATACTTATCCACCATCCCCTGCCCTCTTTTTAAATATTTATATTAACTATTGATAGGCAATAGCAAAACATTAAACCCAAGTAAAACTTCATTGTTCTGTGAAAATAGCATTATAGTTAGAGACGTAGAACATTATATTCCCCTTAGGGGGGTGGGGGGAATATATGCTGGGGCGAGTTTAGTGGCCTCTGGGGGTATATTCTCTGAATCAGAAATAGTCTGGATCCAATATATGTCCGGCATCCTTTAAATTGCTTCTGGTTCAAAAGATTTACCTCTGGGAATCGCTTCCAGAACAGCATGATCCAAGAGGAGGTTCAGCAAGATCACATTCGGTTTCTGATTCAGTGAATTTTGTATGCCCTTAATTTATTTTCTCATGAATAGTGTTACTTTCGTTAGACTCATCATGATTTCTCTTGTTGTAGTTATGTGTAAAGCCTACCTAAGCTAATCTGTGAATACATTATTTTAATTTTAAATGTTAAAAAAGACGCGTTTTCCCTCCCCCACCAAAACACAGCTTTATTAGTTCCCTGGGAGTGAGTTACATGATGCTCTGCACTGAAAATTACCCCAACGTCCTTGCCTTCTGCTTCCTGGATGAGCTTCAAAAGGAGTTCATTACTACATACAACATGATGAAGACAAATACGGCCGTCAGACCTTACTGCTTCATTGAATTTGGTAAGGGTTCATTACTTTCTTCAAGAACTGCCTTGGTTTTGGGCTTCTAAACGTGTCTAATACATTTGCTTCAGCATGGTTTACAAACTGTAGTATTTTGCATTCTTTTTATTTATGACATAAAAGAACCCAACTTGGCATTAAAATATTCATTCAATCATTGTTTGATTCACAAACAATGTACAGTGATCTAAAAATAACTTCCAAATGCCTGACAACAATATTATTTCATAGGGATTTGGAGCAGCCCAATGGATCTGTTTTATTCAGGAGTAATTCTCCTGCAGAGATGGAATCCAGATCTTCTACATTTATGAACAAGGAGGAAAAGGTGCTTTAGAATATCTAGGAGGTTTAGATTTTTGCTGCCTCTTGCAACTTACCATGAATATGTATTACTAATACTTGGTGTATATATTGACCTGTCAGTTTCATTAGGGGGTTACTTTCTGCCTAATGTTTAAATAATTCTTGTTAAATGTTTACCATGGGCATGCTCTCTTTTTTGCACTCTGGCATCATCTTCTGCAGCCTGTTAATACCAATTTAAGATGCCAGTGGTTTATTGTTGATTGAGTGCATGGTTTTATAAATATCCTGCCTTTGTATGGATTCTCAAGGCAATGTTTGTGGGAGTATCCTATCATGTTACCTTCAAAACAGAAAGCTTATGAAATAGGTAAAAACCAGTGAGTGGTGAGGGCAATTTTAATATAATTAGTGTGTCATTAAATTATCTTGGAAATGCATTTAATTTCATTATTTGTGTTTGTAAATCTACAGACCATGATCTTACAGAAGCTTTGTAGTCCTAAAAATTCTATTAATGGGATCTGCCATTTATATGGAATAACCCAAAAAGCAGCTTTACTTTAAAAAAATCAAACTCTAATCTAACAGAGGTAGAGAGCAGAGCCATATTTTCTATTTTTTTCAGAGATCCAAGGCTTAACTTTCATTGAATTTGTAATATTAGAAATATATTATAACAGTATATACACCCTTGGAAACCAGAATAGTGCTTACTACTCAGAATTGTAGTAAACTTTAACATGGACAAATGTCTGGAATACTCGAACTAGTTCATATTACAAAGCCTTAGAAATTGGTGTAGTCCACAGTTTTCAGAAACCAGAGGAATGTACATTGAGACATGGGATGACTGTATTTCACACAGCTTGATGTCTCTTATGGCCCTGTGTTTTGCTTATTTTATGACCATCTCACTTAATGCCTACTGTTTCCATGGGGATGTAGTAAAATTTATTTATTTCTGTCATATAGTACAATAAGATTCTGCATAGATTCCTGGTGGTTCGCAAGAAAATAATATTGAAACCAAGGCAACAATATAGTAATAATGTTTTGCAGTAATACAGATGGCATGAATTCCTCATTCCCCAAATACTGTCTGGAAAAGCTTTGATTTTAATAGCTTCTGGAAGGCTGTTAGAATGGGTGCTGATCTGAACTCAGTGGGGAAGCTGTTTCTATAAAATAAAGACTGCAGCAGAAAAACATGGCCTCTGAGCCCTTCTTCGTTAACCGCTGTTAATAGGAAGCAATTAACATATTTTTGGAGGGAAGCATCCCAGTTATCCCCTCAGATCCTGTTCATTCTGGCAGGGTGTGTGTGTTCCTGGGGTGGATGAGCAAAGAACATCTGGAATATCTCCCAGCAGGTTCCCCCAAGGCCTAAAATCCATCCCAGTCACTAGCTAAAGAAGTAAAAATTATCAAAAGAAGAAAAGGAACCCAAACCAAGAAAGACAAAGATCTCAGGAAGGAACTTAACCAAAACTTTCACAGAGCTGTTAGAAAGATACAAGAAGTATTACAACAACTTCTGTAAAGACGTTGAAAGCAGACAGGAGTTCAAAAAGATCTCTGAACTCAGATTTCATCCTCCAATTTGCATGTCAAAAATGCCAGTAGATAGACAATGCTATGCAGCTCCTGGGTAGTCTTCAGATGCTGCTCCATGTAAAGTACATTGCAGTAATCTAGTCAACTGGGAATAAGTACTTAAATCACATTGCCAGTAACAGTGAAATAGTGCATTTAACTTCTCAGCTTTATAATAATATCTTCATTTAAAAAAATTTTTAATTGATAATAAAGGGTACAAATCTAAATGAGATTACACTGGGGTAAGCTTGTAAGAATTAAATGGAATATACTTTTAAGTCACTGTGTATAATGGCGCATCAGATTTGATAAGCACAGTGATAGGCTGAGTATAAATAGGATGTGTATAAATAGAAATTTTAAAAAACCCACCATTTCACCACTCTTGCACTCACTGTACTGTGTATTTTGCTAACTATTAATTTGTAATTGTTATGCTATGCTTACATTCTATGGGAAAGTATTTCATGCTATAGGAGATGGCATTCTAAATATTATGAATATAATGTTATAATTCAGAAAACTGCCTGGAGCTCAGAACAAATGCTTATTTTTCCTAAGAAAGTTTTCTGAATTACAAGAAAAACTAAATCAAATGTAATTAATTAATTATATTAGTTGCACTTTCAGGCTTGCCAATGCATGCAACATTAGTTTATTCATAGTTAAAATTGTAGCGTTTAATCTCCTGGTGTTGCAAAATTAATTAGCCCATGATATAGTAGGTAGAAAGCAGCAGCAACATTAAAATTTTCTATAGTGAATCTAAGAAATTTAAATAATGAATTTAAATGTGTGCATCTGAGATGTATGTTGCCCGTAAAGCTATGGGGTCCTCAGTGATGTTTTCATCAAAAATCTAAAGGGGGTTGCTTTAATTTTATACAGATAATTTTATTCAGAGGACCAAACAAAGATACAACAATCCACGCTCTCTGTCTACAAGGATAAATCTTGCTGACATGCAAACAGAAATTAGACTGAGACCACCTTACCAGATTTCCCTGTCAGAACTCTGTTCAGCCAATGGATACCCATACGGATCCCTGCAAGAAAGCAAAGATACAAGAAAATTGTCTCCAGGTGAGATGATGGATTTAAATTTACTTATTTTGGGATAAAGGTAGAGATTGATCTGCTTGGTTTACTGCATTCCTTTTGTAAATTTCATGGCCAGCTGCAACATGAGGACTTTGGTAATGTTGCATTTTGAATGACTTACTCAAGTCAGATTGGGGGGGGGGGGGATCCTGAACTAGTTTATCAGTGCAGTGTGAAGAACTTTTTTTCCTTGGTGTCCCAATGAAAAGTTATTGTTCACAAGGATAGTTTCATCACATCTTGAATGATGTGTGTGTGTGTGTGAGAGAGAGAGAGAGACGGAGAGAGAGAAAGAATTAGGGACCTTGACCAAGAAAAAGATCAAAATGCTGTCTCCCAGGAAACCATAGTTCTGACCAGTCATTATTCTCCCTAAAAATCAGAAGACGAGATTGAATGATAATGAATACCCAATCCCTTGCCAATTGTTTCAGTGACATAATACAATTCTAGATTAAAAACAATTCTAGAACTTGATCAGTCAGTCTACAGTATAGAATTCTACACTATAAGAATTCCGTGTTGTAAAGGGGATTGAGAACTAGTTTCAAAGCCTGTTTTATTACGATGGTTTTGACAAGTTGAGTTTAGATATATGTTTCAATGAGTTGCTGTATTTAAAACTGTTCTTCTATCCCAGCAGCTTCTCCCCCAATTTCATGTTAAGCTGTCCACAACTTAGTTCTTGGCAAAACAAAAAGGCTTTTTGCCTTATCAAGTTTGGAAAGAGCACTGGTCAGACAGAAGCAGCCCTCCTCTTCTCTAGAGAAATCACCTTTGTCATTTGTGAGCATTTTCTGACTTTATGAACTACTTTGGAGAGCCTTTTCTGTTGCAGCTGTTCAGTGCGCACCAGGTAGAATGGCACCCCTCTTTCTATCAATGTTCCAGCTCATTAACTTCATTGTTGGCACCTTTACACTTCGCTGATTTAGACAGAATGATTTACATATGGTTCATTCACCTTATTGTCCCTCTCTCTATGTTGCCTAGACTACGGGGGTGTGTGTTGCCCTGTGTGTTTCCCCCCTACATTCCGTTTCTGTCACTTGTAGAATCTCATAATAACACTTGTACACACATTCAGTATGAATTGGCAATCATTTGTGCATATAGTTGGCATTTCGTGGAAGAGATGAGTATCAGCAAAGGTGCTTACAGTCTATATTCTCTTTATTTTTGCCCTAGAGATCATGGAGAGAATAGCAAATTTGGAGCTCTTTTGTATCCAAGGAAAATAAAATGCCTACTAGAGTGTGGGGTCCTTGGGGCTTCCCTGAGCTTGGTGGTTTTCTTGTAGACATTTCGTTACCAAAGTAGGTAACATCTTCAGTGGTTTTATTGGTAGTGACATGTCTTCAAGAAAACCACCAAACTCAGAGAGACTCAAGGATCCCACACTTCAGAGCTGCAAATATTCTCTTCTATTGAAATGTAAGTGTTTCAAAAATTGTCATGTATCTTTTAGCTTTCCTCTGATTCATTTCACGATGTTCTGTTTAACAGAGGCCTAAAACCACACCCATGTTGCAGAACCCCTTTAGGATCAGCATGGCCTGTCATTAGATGGAGATATCCATATAGTTGACCAAGGAAATATTGACTATATGTGCATAGTAAGTTCATTGGGGGGAAAAAGTAGGAAATGAGTCTGATAGTACTCCGTATCTTTGGAAATAAAGAAAAATATATGCATATGTGGTGTTTGTAATCTTCTGTACCTCTTTCAGGAGCAATTCTCATTGGTATATCGATGCCCTCTGAATAAGTGTATTTAGCATGGGCTTTAATCACTCTTTAGACCTGTAACATGCTTTAACAAAGAAAAACACTGAAATGTGAAAAAGTATAATTTTAAAAGCCTGATTTACTTAGTCATTGGCTAATTGTTAGGGTAACTTTATGTCTGTGTTTTTATTTTGTTAATATGCTGCCTAGCTTAGGTACATTAGTTTGATACTGATAGTTCTTGACTTAAAATCATTCGTTTAGTGACCATTTGAAGTTACAACGGCTCTGAAAAAAGTGACTTATGACCATTTTTCACACAACTTGTAGCATGTCTGGGGTCATGTGATCAAAATTTGAATGCATGCAATTGGCATGTATATACACTGCTCAAAAAAAATAAAGGGAACACTTAAACAACACAATGTAACTTCAAGTCAATCACACTTCTGTGAAATCAAACTGTTCACTTAGGTAGCAACACTGATTGACAATCAATTTCACATGCTGTTGTGCAAATGGAATAGACAACAGGTGGAAAGCATAGGCAGTTAGCAAGACATCCCCAATAAAGGAGTGGTTCTGCAGGTGGTGACCACAGACCACTTCTCAGTTCCTATGCTTTCTGGCTGATGGTTTGGTCACTTTTGAATGCTGGTGGTGCTTTCACTCTAGTGGTAGCATGAGATGGAGTCTATAACCCACACAAGTGGCTCAAGTAGTGCAGCTCATCCAGGATGGCACATCAATGCGAGCTATGGCAAGAAGGTTTGCTGTGTCTGTCAGCATAGTGTCCAGAGCATGGAGGCACTACCAGGAGACAGGCCAGTACATCAAAGAGACGAGGAGGCCATAGGAGGGCAACAACCCAGCATTAGGACCGCTACCTCCGCCTTTATGCAAGGAGGGACAGGAGGAGCACTGCCAGAGCCCTGCAAAATGACCTCCAGCGGGCCACAAATGTGCATGTGGCTGCTCAAACTGTCAGAAACAGACTCCATGAGGGTGGTATGAGGGCCCGACGTTCACAGGTGGGGGTTGTGCTTACAGCCCAACACCATGCAGGACGTTTGGCATTTGCCAGAGAACACCAAATTTGGCAAACTCACCATTGGCACCCTGTGCTCTTCACAGATGAAAGCAGGTTCACACTGAGCACATGTGACAGATGTGACAGGGTCTGGAGACGCCATGGAGAACATTCTGCTGCCTGCAACATCCTCCAGCATGACCGGTTTGTCAGTGGGTCAGTAATGGTGCAGGGTGGCATTTCTTTAGGGAGGTGCACAGCCCTCTATGTGCTCGCCAGAAGTAGCCTGACTGCCATTCGGTACCAAGATGAGATCCTCAGACCCCTTGTGAGACCATATGCTGGTGCGGTTGGCCCTGGGTTCCTCCTAATGCAAGACAGTGCTAGACCTCATGTGGCTGGAGTGTGTCAGCAGTTCCTGCAAGATGAAGGCATTGATGCTATGGACTGGCCCTCCCGTTCCCCAGACCTGAATCCAATTGAGCACATCTGGGACATCATTTCTCGCTCCATCTACCAACGCCACATTGCACCACAGACTGTCCAGGGGTTGGGGGATGCTTTAGTCCAGGTGTGGGAGGAGATCCCTCAGGAGACCATCTGCCACCTCATCAGGAGCATGCCCAGGCGTTGTAGGGAGGTCATACAGGCATGTGGAGGCCACACACACTACTGAGCCTCATTTTGACTTATTTTAAGGACATTACATCAAAGTTGGATCAGCCTGTAGTGTCTTTTTCCACTTTAATTTTGAGTGTAACTCCAAATCGAGACCTCCATCAGTTGCTAAATTTGATTTCCATTGATAAATTTTGTGTGATTTTGTTGTCAGCACATTCAGCTATGTAATGAACAAAGTATTTCATAAGAATATTTCATTCATTCAGATCTAGGATGTCTTATTTTTGTGTTCCCTTTATTTTTTTGAGCAGTGTATCATGGTTGCAGTGTCCCAGGGTCCCATGATCACCTTTTGGGACTTTCTGACTAGCATAATCAAAGGAAAAGCCAGATTCACTTTACAACCGTGTTACTAACCTGATAACCACAGTGATTCACTTAACAACTGTGGCAAGAAAGGTTGTAAAATGAGGCAAAATTCACTTAACAACTGTCTCATTTAGTAATAGAAATGTTGAGTTCGGTTGTGGTCATAAGTCGAGAACTACTTGTATGTTATTACATCTTGGAGAAATGAAGTTCCTACACAAGCAAAAAATATATATCTTTCTGTTGGGGAGAGGCTGCATTGTAATCTGCACCAAAATACAGCAATTTCTAATGTGCATTCCTAAGTAAATATAAAAGTTGCAAATTGACCACTCGTGCCCTCAATTAGCTGTGTTTCTTCATTTAAAGTATTTTGTCTAGAACAAAACAAAAACTGAGAAAAAGAACCTTAGCAGGTTTTGTTCAAACATTAAAGAAAGCTTTTAAAATATTTATAGTGTTTCTTCTCTCTGCTACCAGCCCCTCACCAACGACTGGAACCTGTGACACTACCGGGAATTGTTTCCTTTCTTCTTAGCCTTTTATGTGCTGCTTTGAATTTAATTCGTGGTTTTCATGCTATAGAGAGTCTTCTACAGGTACCGTTGTTACATTCATAACTTTGAAACCGGAAAAAATATTTTGAAGATTAAGAGAGTAAATTTATTTTTTTCAAATTATTTAGCAGTGTTTAACAGAGTCAGATCACTCTGGAATAGTAATTGGATAAGAACATCGTCTTTCCCTATCAGGCTGAGTTTGCATCCCTGAGCTGAAGTGTTTGCCATCTCATTTTCCTGGTTTGGTGAAAGAGCAAGAGAGATTTTTGATGCAAACATGTTACAGGCAGAATTCTCTTTCTCTCTCCTCCCCGTCCTCATTCCCTCCCTCCCTCTTCACCCAGCTTTCTTAAAAGGATATAAAGGCCACAGAGAAATCTGGAATGAACTATGTTTAAATGTCTAAGAGCTGCATTCCTTGTTAAATTGTCGAGGGGAGTGGGAACCTGGGTTGGTGGTCTATGTGTCTCACATAAAATAGGTTGAAGCTGATATGTTTTAAGTTTTGTCCTAGTGCATGCTAATATAGGCTGCTGATTAAAAGGGAATTCAGGATGCATTAATCCAGACAGATGAGATATTTCAGACAATTCCTTATGAAGGGGTAGAATCACTATAACCATGGTGAGACTGGGTTCAAAGCCTCTTGCACTCAAACATCACATTTGCGCGCTCTCTCTCCTTCTCCCTCTCCCGCCCTCTCTCCCCCGCCCACGTTCTCTCATTCTGCCTCTCTCGTTCAACTCTCCCTCTTTTAGAATGCAGACATGCTACAAAAACCGTGTACTTTTGAAGATGATAATGTGTACATATTGTCCACCTATTAACAAAGGCTATACCAAGATTGCCTTAGTCTTTCCTTATCCTATTCTATCACGCATATTAAAAAGTTAAAAAGTTTGATTTTCAAAACCGTATTTTATCAATTGAGTTAAATTTCTGCCTTTTGTATTACCATTAATGAACAGTACACGCTCTGGGCACCATTCCAGTCTTCCTCTGCATTTTTCTCCCTCCCCTGAAACTTCTCCTGAAAAACCTTCTCTCTCTCACCCTTTCATAAGGAAGAACTCCTTTTTCTGGGAAGTAGGCCAACTGTAAACAATTATATATAATCCATTTGTACTGTGTGGTCATATAAAACACATATGGTGGGAAGGCAGGAATTTTGTTCTGGGTTAAACAGTCAGGTCCATTGCAAAACAAATGGAATTCGGATCTTCTGGGTCCAAATCCCCTGCCCAGCCTCTTGAGGTATTCCAAATGACAGAAAAGTGCTGTGTTATTCTTAGCTCTCTTGCCAAAATAATCGAATTTATTCTTTGGGTTCTATGGCTTTTTAGTTTAAAATTTTACTTTGTGAGAGCATAGCACCATCTGCTGGCTATGTTCTATTTTACAGGATTCTCATGTAAACTGCTCTGGTTTAAGGCCAAACTAAACATAAAAACAGCTGATCAACTTATTTAAAGGCAATAGGCAGAAATTACTTAAAGCGGTAGCAGGGCTTGTGTCCAGTTCTAAGATTAAAAGGTTAAAAATCAGGCAAACTGCTAAATTTCCCATCTCAACCCGGTCTAGACTTTACAGAATCTGTCATGGAAACTTTACTTTCCTCCCAGGCTGATGATGGAACAGTTTACAGGGCTTCAGGGAGAGGAGCCATGGATGGGAAACCAATTGACCCTTCTCACCCAAATGCCTCAAACAGATCTGGCTGCTGCTAGAGAAGATTTATAAAGAAGGGGCTACCATACTTTATTTTGTCCCCTGGAAGTTCTTTTTATTGACCCATCAGTAAATCCCCAAGAGCTGTCAATAAATAGAAAAGAGAACACAGGTCACTCCTAATTATTTGCCTAACCCCGGTAATGTGGTCAGCTGAGCAGATATCAGGACCCCTTGAATTTCAGTTTCTAATTATAAGGATCCTCACGTGTCTGTTAAAATGAAGGTGGATGGCATCCAATTCATGCTTGGGGTTCCTGATTAGGGAAGGAAACTGCTACTACTGATGATGATGATGATGTGCAAGCAATATTGATACAATTGACCATAGAAGACTGCAAACTTCTAGTCTCAATACAGGAAAAACTTGATTGAGTTCTGGAAAAAAGCTTCCAGAATTCCAGTATTTAAGTATGTGGTAGTCTGTCTTCTTTGCCTACCATAAAATGCGTTGATTTAAGAATGCTTTATTGTGTCCATTTTTTCAGAATGAAGAAGATGACTTCAGTTTTGTTATTGCCTTTTTCCTCGGCACAGCAGCTTGTTTATATCAGGTATGTCCTTAAGTATTTTTAAATGTTATTAGTTTTGTCACTAGTCACAGCCCAAAACATGGTTTAGGTTGTAAGTACTCTTAGGACTCCACTGGATTTGGTCATTCTGCCCAGATGCTTGATTAATAAAAAAATGGACCAAATTGAATATATTCTAAGGGGAATAACTTGCAAAAATTATTTTGGTGGGTTTGTACAATAAAATACAAACTTTAAAAGTTTGTTGGTTTTATATGGTTGATTTAAAATGATGCAAGGTGTGAGACTTATTGTTTTCTGTTGCAAAGTAAAACTCTTTGAGTCCCGGAAGAGCATTCAGAGAGAAAAGAGATATCTTCTTTATCTTTAGAACACACCTTCTTTTGTATTATGTGTGATATTTGATAGAATTGCAATTCAAGTCAGTATAAACATTCCAGTCAGTATAAAACACATTTTGCCTGAACTCTCTAGTTGCCTAGAACATCCAGATTCTAATAGTCAACCAAGAGCACTGTTATCATCGCTATATGGCTTCGCAAGGCAGACTTGAGTGACAAATTTTAGTTTTCTGATGTGAGAATTTCTGAAAACTCTTCAAAGTCATAGGAAAGCAAACAGGTCTTTTCTTCCCTAAAAGAATAACAGTAATATTGAAAGAGGTTTTTTTCCCCCCTTTATGTTGGGTAGAGGATTTTTTTTCCCCCTTTGATTTCTTTGTGCTACAGAATCGAGTAAAGTCCTACAAGCTGTCATTTAACTATGATCGTTATTTTTTCTTTGCAGTGCTATCTGTTTGCATATTGCACGAGCTGGCGGAACATCAAATCTTTCCTAACGTTTGGCTTAATCTGTTTGTGTAATATGTACCTTTACGAATTGCGCAATCTCTGGCAGATCTTTTTTCATGTGACTGTGGGTGCTTTTTTAACGTTACAAATCCGGCTAAGGCAGCCACAAGGGAAAGCTCCTGATTACAATGTGTGATGGATGTCCTCTGATAGTTTTACGGCAAACTTCATCCGAACAGTATCCTTCTCAGGAATGAAAAGCTTTGCTGTACGAAGAGAAGTTCCATGTACTTTAAGGCACTAATAAGTCGGCAGTGAAATTCTTCCTCAAACAATTAAAAAAAAAAAAAAAGGTTCAGGAACTAATTGAGGTACAAACGCAATCCAATGCTGGAGAATATACCCCAAGGATAAATGAGAATTTGGAGGGTAGCATGAAAAGCTCCATATTCAGAACTCTGACAACGACAAGCATCTGTATTGGACCTGCTCGGCATATTAAGTGATTTCTCCAGTCCCAAACCAGTTTTGCCTTTTGTGAGGCAAGAGAAAAGGCTGAAATAAAGGGATGGTATTGCATATTAACAAACAGTTCGGTATGAATGAATTCCTAAATGTCAGATTATTGGATTGCACATAAATTTAATGGTGTGTGTCTGCATTTTCCTTAATTAAAACCTAACCCGGAAACCATCTGTTCCTGGGGATTAGTTCTTGAGCCCCAAAGGCCTGCCATCTAATGCTGAGTTAATTATGAACTGCATTAGTACTTCTGTTCCTTCTGCCTTCTTTCATGGGCTTTGAGAGGGAGTTAGAAAATGATCTTATCTGCCCCAATGCATCAATAACATCATCACATTTTCTCTTTGGTTCGTTATCTAAAATTTGAAGATTAAAAAAAAAAATCACTTTGTGATGATATAGTGGGAGGAGACAGACATTTTCTCTATATAATATAAAATCAGAAAATGAATTAAAACAGTTGTCTAGATGGGATGCAGGCTAATTTTTAACCATTTCTCTATCTTATGAAAGTATTTGGAGTGGAAGAAACAGCTTTGGATCATTGCAATTTATTTATTTATGTTATAACAGACTATAACATTGACAGGGCTCTAGGCAGTGCGTTAATCCGCCTTTCTCATGAATTGCATGGCTTGGTCAGAGAGAGCATGGCTTGTCCAATGTCACCCAGATGATTGCTGAGCCTAAAGATGGACTAACATCTGGTCTTCTTGCTAGATCACTGTGGCTATCATTGCCAACGTATAAACTGCAAGGGGAACCCCCTGTGCTAATTAACTTGTGCGTTCCCTATAGAGAGGGTACAAATAATACGATAAGATGGAGGCTACAGCTATTTTTTCCCCAAACACAGAGTTTAGGCAAAAAGTAGGCCTTGGCATTTAAAAAGATGAGTGCTAAGAGCTGAATTCCAGATGAAATTAGAAATCATTAAAGTTCACTGAAATCAATAGAGGACCTTAAAGTTCATTTGAGATATTATCTCTGACATGCGGGAATGCAAGAACTGTTCAGATTTCTTAGCCTCTGAGTGATACTAATTTCTTAGTTTCTCTGGTTGAATTCTGTTGCAGAATAGAGTAAGACAGTGGTTCTCCACCTGTGGTCCGCGGACCGTTGGAGGGTCACGATGCCATCATGGGGGAGTCCCCAAAGGCTTGAAGGAATATTACAATTTAAATCTTGAATTAAGTGTTGGGGGATACGTAGCCACAAAAGATACTTTAAGGAGATCCATGGTGAAGAAAAGGTTGAGAATCACTGGAGTAAAATCATATTGTCAACATTGGAAGAGCTGGACAAAATTTGGTTCCAGCTAAAACTATTATTAAACATTCCTCCTTGCATTATTAAATTCAAATTTCTTACATTTGATTTTAAGGAAGAATTATATTGAAGCAGGTGTGCTAAAAGATAATTGGAAAATTTTCTAAAAAGATTTCAAAAGAGGTGGATTTGTTTTTGGAGTACCTGATCCCCACTAATAGCCTATTTGTCTCTTGGCTTGAATTGCATGTCATCTGCAAGTAGTGATAATTGTAGACTGATTCAGTGGAGGAAAAAGTCTTTGCTTGGGCTCGCATAGTACATTAAGCCATGATTTGCTTAATCACAATTCTAATAAGCCATAATTGCTCTGGTTAATATAATACAAAGCCAAAAAAGTAAATCTTCCTTTGTGGCTTGGGTTTATACAAGCCCAATTTCTGAATTTTTGCCCACAATATGCGATAATTTTCAGTGTTTCATATATTAGATTCTTTTCTATGGTAATGTGATTACGAGACTTTGCGGGACTGCACTAAGCCAGCAATGAAAAGCCAGTGTTTTAATGCCTTAATTAAATTTATGGTGTGTATCCATGTTCTACTGGAATAAGAAAGTGTAAAACAGCTCATGATAAATATTTCATTGAGGACCAAATGATAACTGTGTGCATGTTCCTGAAACTTTAGATGTAGAAAAATTTCATATATATATATCATTGTTCCTACATTGCTAATTTTCCATTTTTCCAGAAAGGATATATCACCAAAAATGTCTCCTGCTTTTTTTAAATATAAATTTGCCTGAAGCTATTGTTACCAGTTGTAGATTTATTCAGATAGATGCCGAAGAGGTATTTTCAGTTAAGTATTGGGCAACTTTCATGAGTTTTAATTTCTAGTGCTTCCCCCAAGTATGAATGCCATGTACTTCTGGTCAAAGATGAATGCCACTGTATTCAACTATCTTCCCACAAAGCTTGGTAGTAGATTTTTTTTGCTTGGACTTCAAAACTGTAGCTAGAAATGCTACTGCCATGCATGCTTTATGATTTTTTTAGGTATCCAGGGTAGAAACGTATCATCTGTTGCTGATGTCAAGCCTATCAAATACAGAAAGAAATTCTCTAATGGCAATACAGCCATTCTGTGTTGTACATGCAGAATGTTGTATTTTTGTAGTTGTCCAATTAGTGATCATTGGTCTGAGCTATTCAGCTTTAGCTACCAGCCCAGGCAAGTCTAACATCATGATCACTAGTTCCAACCAGCTATTTCCTGGAAATTTTGGAAACCTAATTTATAACATTTCCTGTGAAAGAGAATTGTTTACTGCTTGCACACAGACTTGATTTAAAAAGACAAATTTAAGGCTAAGTTTATTCCTTCTAGGCTGCTTAGAATGTTCTCTAATGTATAAGCTATTTGTGTTTTTTTGCTCTGTAGATAAGAGCAGGAGAACAACTTAATAAGAAAATGTTTTCTCCTTTGGATTCCATATTTCTTTTAACACCATTCCACGTGCCTCTTAATTTCTTAATTTCTTCACTCCCCCTTCCCCATTCTATTCATTTATTATCCAGCCTTCAATGTTCTCTTTGTGGAGAAGGTTGTGAAAAAGGTATATAGCAGCTACATAGGATTTTGGAATAAATTGTTTATCTGGACCTATTCCAGTTGGAATTCAGACCAGGGTACAGTATCAGGAAAACATGGTCACACTTGTTGATTACCTTTGGCAGTTGGCAGAAATGGAGATTGTGCATGCATTCTTGTGCAACTTGACTTCTCAGGTTTTCAATATCAGTGACAGTGTCCATTTGGATTGGTTATAGAAGATGAGAGTGGGAGGAACTATATTGCAACCTCAGCCTCCATTGATGGGGATATATTGTTTTTGCCCCTGGCCTCTCATTTTGGGATGCCTCCAGGCTCAACATTCCACCCCGCTCTCCTTTTTACATGATATCATTGGGTGAGGTCATTTGTCAGTTCAACATCTAGTATCAGTAAGCCAGAGATACCCAGTTTTATATCTCAACCCCGACTGCAAATGAAGCTGGTGATGTGTAGCTCCAATGTCTGGAGGCCATTTGAGTCTGGCTGTGGTGGAACAGGCTTTGCCTTAATCCTGGCAAGGTTGACTAGGTATGGCTGTGTGACACCAGGTTCGGAGACGATTTCATTGTTCTTGGCTGGGGGAGCAGCAGCAGCAGCAGCACTACCACCCCTTTGGTGTGGAACTTCCTGTTTTTCCAAAAATACTGGAAGTGGCAAAACGGGGTGAGTTTTCGGCCTGCAAAGCCTGCAGAAGCCTGCAGAGAAGCCTTCTTCAAGCCTTTGGGAGGCCAAAAAAGGCCTCAAACCCACCGAAAATGAGCTGTGAGGCGTGCGCATGCCCGGTGAGGTAAGTTTGTCTGCAGCTCACATGCCAGCACAAATGGCTCTGCGTGCCATGGGTTCGCCATCACGGCTATAACCATTATAAATACCTGCCAGTTGCCCAGTGTATGAATTTTGATCACATAACTAAGGGGATGCTGCAGTGGGTGAAAAACAGTCATGTCACATTTTTCAGTACCATTATAATATTTGAGGGGTCACTAAATTAATGATTGTTAGTCGAGGACTACCAGTATTACTGTCATCTTAAGAGATTGAGGAAGTGTGTCTTCTCTGCCATGGCCCCTACCCTTGGAAGAGGATCCCCCCCACCTCCTCAAGAGATTTGAACAACACCATCTCTGTAGCATACGCAAAAGTCCTTGAGACCTGGCCTCGGTCCCAATCTTGTAGTTCAAATATTTGTCAGTCCCCATTTGTGGGGTCAGATATTTGTCATATGGCTATTACTATTTTGACAGTTTCAGTCTGCACTGTGTTGTTTTATGATTTTAACTATTTTTACTGTTTTGAATTTTGTAAGCCATCCAGAGTAAGCATCTGTAATAAATTTAAATAAATAACAACCAAGAACAGCACAGGAAATAGCAGACCAGCAACAGAGGTAATGATAATGACTTCAATATGCTAGAAGGATAAACATTCATCTGAAGCTCACTATTTTTTTTTTATTGAGAAAGGAGATTGCTGCTTAATCAGTTATCTAAAAAGTAGCTTTAGGCATCTGTATCTTTTCAGAGCATGAACCAAACTTAAATAATATGCTTAGTTCAAGATGTTTACAAGTACAGTTGAGTCCTATAGTGATAAATGGAAGAGATATGCAGTCATCTGAATAAGTTAAGTGCACTCCATTAAAAGTATTGATATTTTCAACACATTTCAGCATAGAAATGTGACCTTCATTTCAACAATCTTTATTTGTTTAGCATATGGAGACTACAATGCTAATATAGACTAGTAGTTTGGCTGCCAATTTACTAGCTATGTTGTGCTACACATTCATGCATTTGCCAAGGTGCGCCTGCAGTGTCATCCAAGATCCTCTCCCTCGCAAATGTGCATCACAACCAGGAAGGTTCAGAACCAGTCGCATCTGACTGCCTGCATGAAACACCAGCTCGTCTCCCCACTGAAGTGGTACACACTTATCTCCTCGCATAGAATATACTTTTTGTATGTTCTATGCGAGGAGCTAAATGAGCAACGGTGGCTCAGTGGGTTAGAGTGCAGTCCTGCAGGTTACTTCTGCTGACTACTGGCTGCCTGCAAATTGTCAGTTCAAATCTCAGCAGGCTCAAGGTTGATTCAGCCTTCCACCCTTCCAGAGATTGGGAGAGAGTTCTAAAAAAATACCTCCTTGAAGATGTTTCTGCCAATGCGGACCCAGATTGCTGGGGGCAATATGCTGACTCTATAAACGGCTTAGAGAGGCCTGTAAAGCATTGTGAAGTATATAAGTAAGTGCTATTGCTATACTTTTCGAACCGCTAGGTGGGTAGAAGCTGGGGCAAGTGACAGGACTTCTGGAAAAATGAGCATTAGATAGACAAGGCAAAGCTAGAGTTACTGGGCCCTAGAATTAGAAGACATGTATAGCAAAACCCAAACACAGCATTTCACCATAATCTTATCCAACTGTAAAGCACTAAAGAGTAATGTGAGACCATCTATCAGAAGATTGCACTTGAACAGAAACTGGACCTTGCAACATGACAATAACCCTAAGCATTCCAATAAATCAACCAAGGAATAGCTGGGGGGTGGGGGTGGAGAAAGATTCTAGAATGGCTGAATCAAAACCCAGATCTAAATTCCATCAAGATCTAAATTCCATCAAAATGCTGTGAGGCGATTTGAAACTGGCTGTGCATACGAGAACCTTTGGAAGATTTAACAGCTTGGGGAAAAAAAAATCTGCATGGATGATGGGAAAAAATTCCAGTCAATATCAGAGATTGGGAGAGAGTTCTAAAAAAAATGCCTCCTTGAAGATGTTTCTGCCAAAAGGGACAATAACAACTATTAGAGCTAAAGGTAATACCTTTTCAACAGAAAGGAAGGGCATCTTTTTAGTCAAGTGATCGCAAAGTCAACTTTTCAGTTGTTTTGTCCAATTACATCAGTTTTGGAATGAAGATAAAGTATTTCTACAATGTTAAAACATTTTCTTTTTACACAGTGTACTTTTTTGCATGACTTTAGAGTGTGGTGGTATCTGGCACTGAATTGCAAGAGCGAAAGGCTCTTTCCCAAGGGTCTACAATAGACAAATTAGCACCGGGTCAATTTTATGCAGACCCAGAAGGGGTATCCTCCCTAAACCTTCACAGGATTTGTCTGGTGGTTACACAGCGTGCTTTAGTCTGGGCTAGTTTCTTGTGTCTATAGGCAAACAGCACTAAATAAACTACTCTGAGTAATACATTGCGTCACACAGGGCTCTCTTGCCAGACAAAAGCACACCCTGAATAACTATCAGATAAATCCTGTGAAGCTTTAGGGAGGATTCCTTCTAGATCTCTGCAGACTGAGGACTCAATGTTGGTTTGACTTGTCTCTTGCTTCCTTGGGAAAGGGAACTTCGCTCTTGCAATTCAATGCAGTGGTGGGATTCAATTTTTTTTTATTACCAGTTCTGTGGGCGTGGCTTGGTGGGCGTGGCAGGGGAAGGATACTGTAAAATCCCCATGCCCTCCCCACCTGACTAACCTGCTTTCCAGCTCCATTCTCCTGTGCAGGGCAACAAAAGAAGACCCAGCCGATCAGCTGAGACTCGGGAGGCAGAGAATAGATGTAGGCGGAGCCAGTCAGAGTTGGTATTTGCTGGTTCTCCAAACTGTTCAAAATTTCCACTACCGGTTCTCTAGAACTGGTTAGAACCTGCTGAATACCACCTCTGAATTCAACAGATTTCAACAACTAGAATCAGCAAAGAACAATCTTATACAGGTAGTCCTTGACTTACAACCACAATTGGGATCAGAATTTCTATTGCTAAGCAAGGCAGCTGTTAAATAAATTATGCCCAACCTTATGACTTTTTTTTTTTGCCATAGCTGTAAGGTGAATCATTGCAGACATTAAGTGAATCCAGTTCTCCCGCTGATTTTACTTGTCGGAAGCTGACTGAGAAGGTTGCAAATGACAGTCACATGATTCCAGGGCGCTGCAACTATCATGAAATACATGATAGTTGCCAACCACCTCAATTCTAATCATGTGACCGTGGGGATGCTATGACAGTTGTGTGAGGTTGGGTTGTAAGTTACTTTTTCAGTGCCGTTTTCACTTTGAATGGTCACTAACCGAATGGCTGCAAGTATGGAATTTATTTATATGTGTACTCAAAATGAGATTTTGTTTTAGCTAGGGATGCAGAGGTGGTATTCAGCAGGTTCTGACCAGTTCTGAAGAACCGGTAGCGGAAATTTTGAGCAGTTCGGAGAATGGCAAATACCACCTCTGACTGGAGATTTTACAGTGTCCTTCCCCTGCCATGCCCACCAAGCCACGCCCACAGAACCAGTAGTAAAAAAAATTGAATCCTACCACTGTAGGGATGCCATTTAATGCAAAGTGCATTGCATTTATATACAGGAAGGGCTACTGGCCTGTCCTCCCACGATACTAGTCCCCCTTTTAAGTTCCTATAAAGTTCAGTTTCAGGCTTTGATTTCTTTGTCCCAGAGACGAATAGCCATTGCTTCCATGTCCACCTGATGGGTATGGCAATGTTTTTGTTACGATCTTTTGCATGAATCTTTTGCCTAAACACTCTTTCTACTCCAAAAGCATACTTGGGTATCATGCATTTCTGTCTAGTTCACTATATCACCTTGTAAAAATATTTGGGAGATCATCAAACTAAAGTCCAGTTGTCATTTTAACGCATCGTGACAAACTTCTTTGTTTCTTATGAGCCAATAATAAATAAATAAAAACTCAGAAAAGACTGACAAGTGAAACAGTGTTTAATATAGTTGTTAAATTAAACAGATTGCAATTTCCATGGGAAATCCTAACTGTATTCATCTTGCAAGAGCCAGAATAAAGAGTGCATACCCCTTGAAATGATCATGACACAGTCAACAATCACAGTCAGAGATACAGGCGACTGAAAATTTCATTGACAACACAATTGCGCAAGGCGGTCTGCTCAAATGTTAATGCACACTTCAAAGCAGGAGGCCAACTTAAAAAATGATCCTATATTGTGCTATTAATTAAATTTTGGAAGTGGTAAATGATGCCAGAAAGAAAGGGTGGAAGATAATGAACAAGCTGCAGTACCATGTAAATTAAAGACCTTTGGAAATCAGATTTTGTTTAAAGGTTAAAAAAACATATAGTACAAGGACAAACTTGGCAGTTTTCTAGAATCGGGCTGTATTATGTTCCAGGATGTGCCTTACTGGAAGGGAAACCTACATACCCAAGAGAAATAAGATACTACTAGGTTCTTGTTTAAAAGAGCTCCACTTAAGAATTATGTTAAGCAATTTAATAAATTAAGAACGTGGATTATATTTAATTTCTTGATCAAAGATCAGAGCCCCTTCTCTCATGTCATAGGCATACAGTTTATTAATGTTACTACAAATCTATTTTGTAAAATGGAAAAAAATCTGTCAAAAGTTTTTAATCATTTTGGAGATAGGCTTAATATAAATTCCTTTCCTACACTGAAATATAAAAATATATGCTTTCTATACTTTTAATATTTTAATAAAATGCATGGGCATTGAAAATTCATGATGAACTCATTTATAAATGCGTATCAGTCACTCCTTTTCTTAAAAATTGTTAGATCATCCCAGCATCCGCAGTCAATTTTGTTTGGTTACAGGAAAAAAACAAACCCAACCAAACCTTCCCAAGCCTTTTTTTAACTAAATGCCATGTACAATGAATTGAAAGTAGAATTTAATTTCCCACCTCTTCACGATAGCAACATTTCTCGATTCCACAGCAATTCGACATTCCACAGCAATTTGATACACATTAATTGAACAAACCATTAAATATTTTAATATTTGTTCTTTCGGTTCTTTGAACATTGGAAATTGTTTTTATCCCAAAGTATTTCAAAAGCTACTTCAAAATTGGGGATACATTTTATCTTAAATTTTATCTGGGCTAGTTCCTGCTTTTTGTTTTTCAGCCTAAGTTTCATCACCTTCATCTATTTTTATTTTTAATTTTTATCCTGGAGCCCCTTTTAAGCTTCTGCTTGCTTCCTGGACTGTACAGAAATTGAAAACTGCCAAGTCTGCAACTCTGAAAAGAACAAAAAGAACACCCACATTTTTATAACTTATGTACACCTCCCAAGATGCACAGCCACCAGTTTCGACTCTTGTGCGCATCCAGCAAGAGGCTTCCCCTGGTCAGCTGAGTTAAGAAAGAGAACAGGGGAAAGATTTCTCACTGATCAGCTCTCTTGCAGACTGAAGAGGCCCAACCTGGACTTCCCGTTCCCCCATCTCCTCCCAGGCAGATTATGACAGAGAAGGGAATGTATGTCAGGTGTGCATGAATGGATCAAGATTGCTTCACCCCAAAAATAAAAGCAGCTGTACCAGGTGTTCAGTGCTTGCTTAAGTGCTGCATGTGAGTCTCCCCTCTTGCTACCTTTTCACATAGCGGTCATGTGTACTGCATTACAGCGGGTACACAACTGATCACGATTGCACAATTGGGATGAAATTTTAATACATAAAATCCTCAAAATATAGAATTTTGGTATATTTGTTAGTGTCAGTGTCTCCCATATTACAAAATACAAAACCTCCCCAAATAATCCCACACATATCAGAGAAATCTCCCTGACCAACAGGAAGATTTAACAGCTAAGTCTTTCGCCTGTGAACCAAAATGCACTCAGTAGGAGTTAGGTCTTTTCCTTTAATAAATACATATGAAAAAATTCTTTTTCCTCGCTTTAAACAATTACTCTCCCTCCTCTCTTGCTAAAATGAGGAAGCCTCACATTTGTGTAAGGGTAGGGATAGCAAGAGTACATAACAAGGCAACTTTTTTCCATTTAAAAATATTACCGATGGCATAATAAAAAAGGCCCTTTATAAAGAGTTACAGTGAGAGCAACATCTTTAATTTTAAAAGCCCACTCAAACAGCTAATATAAGAACAGTGGCACATTCAGGGAGCTGACAGCACAGACCAGAAATAGTATGGGAGTGCACAGCCTTTCCAAAATAATGCTGTTCGTTTTAGTTTTCCTTTTGTTGATGAATCATACTTTCCTTCCACCAAGTAAAAACACTGTGTTACTTCAAATAAATACTTAAATAGTTTTAAGTCCTGCGTAGCAGCCACAAACGAAGATCTCAAATCCACCTCTTCGTCTCCGCATTTCTATGAAGCATAAATCTTTGGTCAATTCACTTAACGTTCATCTTCGGAAAAAAGGTCTGCAGCAGTGCTAGGTGACTTCTGAAGTGTGTGCTAGGCAGCCCAAGCTGTGTTTCTTTTCTTTTTTTTCACCCTTCGCACACAATCCTACTAAAAAGGCATCCCATGAAATATTCAACCGTGCCTTGGGATCAGATTCACTGTGAAACAGTGACGTTTTCTCCAACGTGCTATTGTGTTTGAATCAATGGAGTCATCCTTGCCCACTGTCGTTAACTTGCTGGCGGGCCTTCATTTAAGAAGTAGGTGGTCATTTCTCCTTTACCTTTGACTTTCACAACCCCTCGGCATTCTAGTTGGTAGTTGTTGATGGTTAAAACCTGATACATGTCCGTAGTAACCTGTAGAGTATTCAAAAAGAAGAATCAGCGTTTAGGCCCCCCTCTCTTGTTGAAGTTATCAATTGAACATTTGCAGAAGGCATATTAAAAGTTTTATCTAGGATTACTGGAGAGAAAACTTTGCACTCCGATTGTGTTCACAGTACAGAGGCCTTTGCATTCACTGAAGCATCAGAGGAAATGAGGGAGCTTTTAAAAAGGCCTTTAATTCTGCTGAAACCATGTTCTGTTTCCATATAGAAGCAGAGATTGAAGACCTGATACTAGGCAAGTGTACCAGATTGAGTAGATTACTTGATTATACTCAAGAAGTCTTATTAGCAAATGCCAGGCATAAGCATTCAGCCTCTAAACACAGAGTGCTGGTTCTGTTAAAAGGAGGGTACAGAGTACAGAGTGGAAAGGCTGTTGCATTAAATACACTGCTCAAAAAAATAAAGGGAACACAAAAATAAGACATCCTAGATTTGAATGAATGAAATATTCTTATTAAATACGTTGTTCATTACATAGTTGAATGTGCTGACAACAAAATCACACAAAAATTATCAATGGAAATCAAATTTAGAAATGCATGGAGGTCTGAATTTGGAGTTACACGCAAAATTAAAGTGGAAAAAAACACTACAGGATGATCCAACTTTGATGTAATGTCCTTAAAACAAGTCAAAATGAGCCTCAGTAGTGTGTGCCTGTATGACCTCCCTACAACGCCTGGGCATGCTCCTGATGAGGTGGTGGATGTTCTCCTGAGGGATCTCCTCCCACACTTGGACTAGAGCATCCCCCAACTCCTGGACAGTCTGTGGTGCAACATGGCGTTGGTGGACAGAGCGAGACATGTCCCAGATGTGCTCAATTGGATTCAGGTCTGGGGAACGGGCAGGCCAGTCCATAGCATCAATACCTTCATCTTGAAGGAACTGCTGACACACTCCAGCCACGAGGTCTAGCATTGTCCTGCATTAGGAGGAACCCAGGGCCGACCCTACCAGCATATGGTCTCACAAGGGGTCTGAGGATCTCATCTCGATACCTAATGGCAGTCAGGCTACCTCTGGTGAGCACATGGAGGGCTGTGCGGCCCCCTAAAGAAATGCCACCCCAAACCATTACTGACCCACTGACAAACCAGTCATGCTGGAGGATGTTGCAGGCAGAATGTTCTCCACGGAGTCTCCAGACCATGTCACGTCTGTCACATGTACTCAGTGTGAACCTGCTTTCATCTGTGAAGAGCACAGGGAGCCAGTGGCAAATTTGCCAATCTTAGTGTTCTCTGGGAAATGCCAAACATCCTGCATGGTGTTGGGCTGTAAGCACAACCCCCACCTGTGGACCTCGGGCCCTCATACCACCCTCATGGAGTCTGTTTCTGACTGAGCAGTCACATGCACATTTGTGGCCCACTGGAGGTCATTTTGCAGGGCTCTGGCAGTGCTCCTCCTGTCCCTCCTTGCACAAAGGTGGAGGTAGCAGTCCTGATGCTGGGTTGTTGCCCTCCTATGGCCTCCTCCATGTCTCTTGATGCACTGGCCTGTCTCCTGGTAGCGCCTCCATGCTCTGGACACTACGCTGACAGACACAGCAAACCTTCTTGCCACAGCTCGCATTGATGTGCCAGCCTCAATAAGCTGCACTACCTGAGCCACTTGTGTGGGTTGTAGACTCCATCTCATGCTACCACTAGAGTGAAAGCACCGCCAGCATTCAAAAGTGACCAAACCATCAGCCAGAAAGCATAGGAACTGAGAAGTGGTCTGTGGTCACCACCTGCAGACCAACTCCTTTATTGGGGATGTCTTGCTAACTGCCTATGCTTTCCACCTGTTGTCTATTCCATTTGCACAACAGCAAGTGAAATTGATTGTCAATCAGTGTTGCTACCTAAGCGGACAGTTTGATTTCACAGAAGTGTGATTGACTTGGAGTTACACTGTGTTGTTTAAGTGTTCCCTTTATTTTTTTTGAGCAGTGTATATCTTCTCCTCTTTCACTATTACAAGTTATGTAAGTGCTGCTGCAAGCAGAGTTTGGGAAGGCAAGAAAAAGGTGTGAAGAAGACTCACCTGAATCCTATCAGGGACTCCTGTACTGTCCATTCGACTAGCTACATTCACAGTGTTGCCCCAAATATCATACTGGGGCTTACGTGCACCTATGACCCCTGCTACTACGGGACCAATATTGAGCCCTAGAAACAAAGCGGGAAGGAATTAAGACTTCCAAAAATAAATTGCTGCTTATTAGTTTTCATCTGTAAATCCCTTGCAGAAACAACACATCCACCAGATTCATCCCCAGGCCTCATTCATCCCTACTAGGTTCGAAGAAATTACCTTTTAGCTTTGTATAAATAAAAGGAGGAAAGGAAGCTTTTTGCTGCACACCCTTATTTCATTTATTTATTTAGCTGTTAACTAGTGTAATTTATACCAGAATCGTGGTTTTTTAGATAGGCCATATAAATATAATAAATAAATTATTTTTAGATTCATATTTTCCCACAAATATTATTTAAAAACAATATTTTAACATTTTTTAAAAATGAACAAAGAAAGAGAAGCAAGAGACAGAGGGAGCGTGCACGCAGGGGAAGAGGGAGAGAGAAAAGAAACGATGCATCGTTTGCACAAGTTTGCAATTAAAAAATTATAAGCATTTGGAAACCAAAGTGACAATTTGCTCCCACTGACTTCAGTGGAAACATTCCAAATTTTCTTAAATCTTTTCCATCAAAATCAATGAGGATTTGATTTGATCACAACCCTATTAAGGTGTTTCTGAAGCTACTGAATTTAATGCCAGAAGGAATATTAAATATGGAGATTACTGTCTTGCTCTTTAGCCTTCTGCGCCTCCTACAGGTCACAGGATTCAAATGTGAAAGAAGTATTTTGTTGGAACATCTGAACTGAAGAACCATTATTTTTCTTCCCTCCAGTATGTGCCCCAACGAGAGTGAGAGCAAACCACGCCTGCTCTGGATATTACCAGTATTTTTTTCTTTCCAGTACGTCAGTGTGAAGGAAATTGTATCAAGAGAGAAATCAAAAATGATGATGATGACAACGACAATGATATCGCTCCCATATTTGCATTTTGGGTCCTAGTGAAATGTAGGCCTATTAGGATGCAGTTACAAACCTACTTACTGGAAAGATTGCATTGCTACTAGTGTGTATGTATGGGTGAAATTCTGGAAGCTGAAAAGATCACCGATTACTTGCCTATCTTATTGTATGCTTATTCTTAGATATATTTTTGTATCCAGAATGATTTATGCTTGTAGCTACCGTACTGCAAAGAGCAAAAATACTTTGTGATGCAGGGGTGTATATTGAGTTTCCCATTATCAGTAGGACATGTTATATAATTTGTATAAGCCATAATCGGCACTGCCAAATGAATACTAGTCAAAAGAAACCACACCCAGGATTACTTGCAATCAGTGGCTTCATGCAAAATATGGCATTTGATTCTTTTTTTTTTTAATCATAGAGAGTGGATTCACAGGGTGAATTTCTGGAGCCTAAAGTACAACCGCAATATTTACCTATTTTCATTTGGAAATTGTTGAATGAATGCTCGTTGATGTATTTCATTTGATCCATTAACCTCATTGCAAAGTCCGCCAGGGCCTTGATATGTGTTTTGCCCACCTTGTCATAGGTGGAATCATTAAGACCCGAAGCAGCCATATATGTGCTCCCTATTGTTTTGATCTTTTCCAGCTGTCGAAATTGGTCTTCACTGATTATCTACAAATCCAAGGAAGGAAAAGGACATACATGTAAATAAATCCATGCTCTGTAAGTGGTCTGTGCACAGCCCTAGGCCCTACATGCATTAACCCACAGCGGGAACAATCCAGCTTGATTCATATATGAAAAGAAAATAGATGAGCTATTCGGATCCTGAGTACAAACATAGACATTGAAGTCCTATATTAGCTATTTCAAAATAATTTGAAAACAGTTATGGTTGTGCTTTGAATTATTAAGTCCTAGATCTGATGCAATATTCTAGTCTGGTATAATATATCATAATATAATATAATTATAATATGAATACATTCCTGTCTGTCCAAATTCTTGTGTCGCTAGTATTACAAATGACATGTGTCAGTGCTTGCTATCAACACAGGTAATTGAATTACACTATTTGCACTTTTAATAATATGGCAGAGTTTATTCCTTTATAACAGGAGTGGGAAACAATGACCCTTTTATGACATGTAGACTTCAACTCCCAGTATTCCTGAGTCAGTCATGCTGGCTCAGGAATTCTGGGAGTTGAAGTCCACAAGTCATAAAAAGGCCATAGTTTCCCATCTCTGCCTTATGATGTAATTCCTTCTTTGCAACAAAAAAGATTCAAGAAAATCCATGCTAAGTATAACGAATAAATCTCCTAGCAAGTGCACATGCTTATTTCAGCTGTCTTGGCAAAATTCCTACTTGTCCCACCCACTCTAAGGCACCAGGGACCAAAAGACTAAATAGGTGACCAGGACATGCAATCACTCAACTGGGATAGGATAACTAGTTCCATGGAGTTTTGAGGGACTATAATTGTAGAGAAGGTTCAACTAAATTTTTGCATTAATCTCTAGTATTGCAGAAAGTTTTTTAAAAAAGACACTTAAACCCCCCCCCCCCTGAACCTACACACCCCAAAGTGTCAAAGACAATATTGTGTGGAACAGGGTATTTACATAGTGATCGGTCCTCAGCATGGAAGAGACCATTGCTCTCCTTGAATTTGCTCACCTCGTCGAAGTCAGCAATGATTTCATTGAGGAGCCTCAAGCACTCCACCCCTTCATTGTTGGCCTCTAACTCCACGTAGAATTCTGAGAAGTTGCTGATGGAAGCAAACATGACAGCAACACATTCACAGGACTGGTAATACAGTTCATCGTTTCTCCGTTCCTGTGCAAGGAAGTGGGCTGCTACATCCTTTGGCAAGATATTATGGAGAAGCCGTCTGTTGTAGGCCTGCAGCTCCTCCATCTCCTCCTTTTCTTCAGTAGCCTGAAGAGAGAGACAAAGAGGTGGTTGCAAGTTAACTTCATTTATAAGGGAAATGGGCTGGAAATAAATATGCATTAATAGACTGGTATCAACAGAATTACATTTTACACTTCATTGGGTTCTAGTTTTAAGCATACATAGAAGGCCTATTACTGCAATTATTAATTCTGTCCTCAAAATTGAACTCTCAAATATCGGTGGAAGCTTCGTTTTAAGTTCTGATTCAGTTTGGTGAGCAGATCAATAGGAGCAGAATTCTATGAAGAATAAATAATCAACAGATGTTCGTAAAAGCAGAAAAATTTCCAAAATTGTTATCCTTGAGATGTAATTTCATCGAGTAAAAGTAATTCGTTTTTGAAAAGGACTCCCACTGAATTACAAAACTCTTTCTTTACTCAATTTACAATATTCGTGTAACACTTTTTCCCACACAAACGTTCTGTGTGGAATATGCTTGTCAGTATTGCTTAACTAAGCTATAAGCTGATGTCAATCAGCCCCCTGTAGATTAAATATTACAAAGCAAGATATCTGTGATCATGAAATGTAAAAAAAAAAATCCTGCATAAGTTTCCTCTGATCTGAGAATTCTAGTTCTGATATATGAGCACAGTAGCCCAACAAAATAACAGCGTGAGCAGCAATCACATACTGATCGTAAGAAGGTATTCTAATATAATATTAAAGACAGGCATGGAAGAATAAGCACCTGCGGACATACGCACCTGAAGCTTCCAAAGGAAATCCAACCTCGCTGTGGATTCCACCTGCTGTGCATGTAGATAGACCGCCAAGACAAAAACAGTGATGACAACAGGGGTTACAATCTTCAAAGCAACCCTGGACACATGGGAAGGACTATACAGGAAACAAAATGCACAAATCTGAAAATTATAATGCAACAGTGACTCAAGCATAAAGAACATAATGCTTCGCATGTTGTCAAATCAAACCTTCCAGTCTTTCTCATCCCTAGAAATGCTGCCAGAGGGCTTGGAGTTCAATTTCTCCGTGTCCTGAGTGTCCCTTGTTGTGTGTTATTATTTATGCATTTGTTTATTTACTTATTTAATTTATTTGCTGCCCATCTCATAACAAAACGACTCTGGGTGGCTTCCAGCATTAAAATCCTAACAAATAAATATTGTTAAAAGAATAAAAAAAAAGAAAAGAAATCCCAATCAAGATAAAATATAGCTAAAAGATGAATGGGAGGGGGGAATGGGATTGCCTCTTAATTCAACAACCACCTTCTAAGTGATGCTCCACCCATTGGGACCCCAAGCCACCTGGCAGATCCAGGTCTTCAGGCTGCTGAGGAAGGACTGAAGGGTAGGAGCCAATCTCACCTCAGGGGGTAAGATCTGGGGTGGGATTCTACCAGTTCACACCTATTCGCTAGAACCAGTTGTTAACATTCTAAGCAGTTTGGAGAACTGGTTGTTAGAAGAAATTACTGGCCTAATCCTGTAAGGAAGGCAGGAAGGAAACATTCTGGTGTTGCTTACAGAAACTGCCTCTCCGTTAACCCTTATTACGTTCTTGGCAGGACTAGACTTCCTGTCTCAGGAACTTCTCTGGAGTTTTTTTCCCCTCCTTTACTGCTTGTGTGGAGTGAGCATTGAAAAAAGTGACTCATGACCATTTTTTACACTTAACAACTGTTGCAGCTTCCCCACAGTCACGAGAGGCCAGGTGAGGAGATGCGTGTCTCAATGTGAGTGATGTTGAGTTGGCCATGTCCATCCAGTCACATGACCACCAAGCCATGCCCACCACCTAAGCCATGCCCACAGAACCAGTTGTTAAAAAATTTGAAACCCACTCCTGGGTAAGATGGACTAAAGGGCAGGAGCCACAGGAGAGAAGGCCCTAGAATTCCTTCACCAAACAGGGTCTGCAGCAGGTCTCCTATGTTGGTGTGGGTGAGTGGGCCAGTCCCAGTGGGGTAAGGCAGCTCCTCAAGTAACCCATGAACCCATGTCATGCAGGGCTTTAAAGGTAATAACCAAAACCTTGAACCGCAGCCAGTGCAGCTTGTGGAGCAGCGGTGTAACATGGGTCATCCTAGGGACCCCAAGAATTGCCAGTGTTGCCATACTTTGCAGCAGTTGACGCTTCCAAATGCTCTTCAAGGGTAGCACCATGTAGAGCACATTGCAATTGTCTAGATCAGAGGTGGCATTCAGCAAGTTCTGACCAGCGGAAATTTTGAATAGTTTGGAGAACTGGCAAACACCATCTCTGACTGGCCCCACCCCCATCTATTCTCTGCCTCCTGAGTCCCAGTTGATTGTCTGGGTCTTCTTTTGTTGCCCTGCACAGGAGAACAGAGCTGGAAAGCAGGTTAGTGGGGTGGGGAGGGAATGGAGATTTTGCAATAATCTTCCCCCAGGAGTGTGGTAGGAATGGAGATTTTATAGTATCCTTCCCCTGCCACACCCACCAAGCCACACTACGCCTAGCAAGCCACACCCACAAAACTGGTAGTAAGAAAATTTGAATCCCACCAGTGGTCTAGATGTGAGATGACCAGGACTCGAACGACTGAGTGCAAGGACTCCTGATCCAGGAAAAGATCAGGTGTGTCCTGGGTAAAAGCGTGAATGCAACCAGCTGCAGTCCAAGTGCAGCATCTTGACCCAAGACCACCCTCCCTCCTTCTGCCACAGATCTGTACCAATACAAGTTTCCACAGAGTCTAGATGAATTGTTGAAAATGCAATAACATCGCCCTTCATTAACTCACCATATCCCATTCTCAGTCTCATTGGAAAACACACTGAAAGAACAAGAGGGACATACTTTAGGCAAAACAAAGAGATCTTTCATTTCTTTTAAACATCATTAGCCTGTGGAGATTCTCAGTCATCTGGTCAAAGTTGTCTCAAAGGTGCTTTATCAAAAGGCAATGTGAATGAATCGCAACGGATGAAGCTTCTTGGATGAGAAGCAAAAGGTTTGCTTCTTCTTCCTCAAGGAAAAACACTCAAGTTGCTTTTCAAAAAAGCACCTTTGAGGTGATCATTAGAGTGATCATCATCACTTGCATTGATAAGCTTTTGCGTTCTGAGCCATGTTAGCCTCATATCTTCTTTCACTAAACTGCTGTAGGCCACACAAGGAATAAGGGATGGAAACTGAACAAGGAGAGATTTAACCTGGAAATAAGAAGGAACTTTCTGACAATGAGAACACTCAGCCAATGGAACAGCTTGCCCTCGGAAGTTGTGGGAGCGCCATCACTCAAGACTTTCAAGAAGAGATTGGACTGCCGTTTGTCAGAAATGATGCAGGGTCTCCCGCTTGGGCGGGGGGTTCGACTAGATGACCTACAAGGTCCCTTCTAACTCTGATTATCTGTTAAATATGTATCTTATCCTTGTCTCCCCACTGGCAGAATGGGATACACACATTGCCCTGTTGTGAAGTGGGAAAGAAATTTAAACAAAAGGAAGTACAAAAATTGTTCTGGGCTACATGTTCCCTTTTTTCGCCCAATGAAAACATTTATCTTGCATCCAATAAATGACTATAGCCCGATTCCTTATGAGCACTGCATTTATTTCCTAGCTGGAGGGGTGCAGGCACACATGAGCACACATCTCTCATGTCTGAGATTCAAACTGCCAAACTGCAGGCAGCTGGCAAGAATAGAATATAACTTTCTTTATTAGACCAGCAATAGACATCACTATTTACAATATATATAAAAAAGTACTGACACATTATAATACATTAATAGTGGATAAAAACATCCCTGTTAAGAAAATACATGTTCTCAAACAGTTGGGGGCACTTCCTAGTTAATATGAATGGAGAGCCAATACGTATGTGTGTAAATATCATTTTCCAAAGATTGTTCTATCCCCTTCATGTCTGGAATGTAACCAGTTCAGTCAACAAAACTGCATTCTTTCCCAAGCCCCATCCATCATACATAAAGCCATTTGCAAATTCAACCTACTAACCATCTGGTTGAAACACAGACATCCTATGCAATATGAAAAATATAAGAACATCCCTATGAGAGATGCATTTAGGCAGCAGCATAGAACGTTAGGGACTTCTTCCTCCTAAGCCTCACCCCTTTCTCACCCCCCCGCAAATTTGTCAATGACCCAGAGTGAAATGTTCACAACCCACCATCAGCTTCCCAGAGGACATTTAAACATACATGCACACCAATGCACAAAAGAAAATAGTGACACTTCTTATGATCATGGTTGATAAAGAGGTTGAAAATAATTTCAGAAATGTTCCCTGACCTTGTTCAAAGAAATGTTCCCTGACCATTCGGTTCAATATGCTAATAAATTAAAGAAGCATACATTTAGGACAGAGATTTTTAATGTGCAAATGCTCCATGATAACATTCTTTCAGTTTTTCACTTTGGACACTATGGGGAGCCATAACCACTTTGAAAGAATGTGTTCGATGAGTATGGTTAACACAAGAGGTTTAATGTGGACTTTTTGGATTTAATTTTGGTTGAAGGGAAGGATTTACCGGGAAGGATTAGAAGGGAAATTATAGAGTTAGACAAGACATTGTATATCTGCTTAGAAGTTAAGCAAATAATTCCAGTGATGTGTAAATCTAAAGATATCTATACCCAAATGGCCATAATGTATTGGTTGTGAAATATTACATTGACAAAATCCCTTTTAAGGCCAAAGTATTTCACTGAATTATGTGGAAAATGTGATTCTTCATATCTACCAAATTGTATTGGAAGCCTGGAAGCCTGGCACTCTGACAAATCAGCCATCAATAGACACATAGACATCAACAACATCTATAGACTATGAAGAGAGACAATTAACCAGCCCAAAAGAGACCAAAAGACTCCAGCACCTCTCCATCAGGAATCAGCACCCAGATCAGCATAGATTAATTCCAAGGTTAACTTCAGACCAACAATCAAATAAGCAACACCCTAATCAAGAAACTGCCAAAGAGCCATCAGTAAACAGCCCAGTCAAAGAATCTCTAAGATTGCCCACACCCACACAGACAGTCAAGTCAGCAGAATAGAAACTGACAGTAAACAGCACTCCTTACTAGCACTAATCATGTTACCTAATTAGGATTATGAAATGTCTGCAAGAAACAAGCAAGCTCAGAGAGCACCAAGGAACCCTCGTTTCAACTCTGAACTACACGTATTCTCCTTTATTGACATGATTTCATTCAATGGAAGAATATCTTACAATTACAATTTTCTTCATATTTCAGGAGGAGGAGTGTGTACCTTCCTGGAAATTTTATTTATATCTTGTCACAGATTTAAGATTTCATTATAGTAGAATCAAATTGTTACGTCAGCCTCAGCAAAGGAAATGTGTCATCAAATTAATGCCGTTGTTTTCCTTTCTTGCGGTTCAAATTAATTTTTCAAATTAAACATATTTCAATTAAAGTATGTTTAAAATTTCTATTTAGCTAACATCAAGCTGTCTGTGTATGTAGCCATGCCTTTGACTATCAGCTGCTGGGTCTGCCCCGCCCCGGCTCTATTCTTACCTTTATTTCCAGGTTTTCAAGCTGAGCTGCTTCACGCGGCACAGTGGATTGCCATGCGCCAGCTGTTTTACACACAGGGTTTGCAGCAGAAGATGAGTTGCAAATGCTGCCTGTGCACCAAGCATGCATTTGGTGTGTGCATGTGCGAAGAGCACGTGTGCACGCAATGTGCGCACCCACACCCTGTAGGAAAATTTTTTTGAAACCCACCAATGTGAAGTACCACAGTAGTTTGGTGGATCGGGAATGCATATTAATTCAATTAATTCCACTTCCTTGTTTTCCACATAATCATCCTCCTCTATAAGGATAATTGTAGCAACTTCTTTTGTGGTAAGATCTCTTTTCTCAAATCTCTGTGAGGGAGGGAATGATTAGCCCAAAATCACCAAGGAAGCTTCTGTAGTTGAGAGAGTACAATGTGCCATTCCTAGTACACCTTAACGACTACACCACACTGGATCTTAATAGAAGAATTGGGCTCCCTGGGTCTGGAAGCAGGTGCACATAAGCTGTGCTTGGCTGTCCTAAAAGTTTCCCACCAGCCATAAATAGTATGCCAAGTAGTGAGTCCTAGCTATTATGAAGACCCAGATTCTTGGGGGCAATATGCTGACTCTTTAAACCACTTAGAGAGGGCCGTAAAGCACTGAGAAGCCATATATATGTCTAAGTACTCTTGCTATTAAAAGAACTTTCAGAACAAAAGTTAATACATAGCAAAATGCAGCTCCAACATTTATTTCTTGAAAAAGATGGGCTTATTTACTTCATCTTATTCCTGACATCTTGATTGTGAGGTGATGCAAGTAATTGCTTCAAAGTGCTCTAATTTAGCCTGCTCAAAATTCCTGGCACTGTAAAATGTCTAAAAGAGGGTTTGTTTTCAGGTTACTCCTTGCTTCTAATTTGCCATCAATTTTCTCTTATAGGAAGAGAAAAATTATGTTCAGGTGGATTATCTCAGCAAAGCAATTAAAAATATGATTCCCCCTCCCTTTCTGTGAATCAGACTGAGAAAGTTTTTACTTTCTTATCTTTTTTTGATGCATTACTCATTTATCGAGTTCAATCAAAATGGCTATTCAGGGTATTTTAAGGGCATTATGAAAATAATAAAACATCACTGGACTAAATAATATGAGAGCAGCGAGGTAGCTAATCACCAAAGGAATCAAAATGTTGCAGAGCAGGAAGCCAGCTCTAATGAGTCACTAGTCAAATTAATGAGTCATCAACACATCCAGGCAACACAATCCAGGGTGTGTGCTATTTGAAAATAAAGCCCCTCTATGTCGAAGGAGGCTTATTCCCAAGAACTGCACATTTAGAAGGCATCTTTGCGATCACTTAATGTCAATTTTAAAGAAATCCTGCAAGCCCAGAGTCACCCACAGAATTCAATTTTCCACCTCTAGTATCTATGCTGAATTCTTGTATGCCTGGCATGGGAGATTTTGGCTGGTCTGAGTAAGATTTATGGGAACAGGTCTTGTATATGGTGCCCTATATGGTTATATGGTGCGTAGGCAAGACCCAGTCCTGCCTACGCAGAGCTGGTTTGAGAGTGGAATGAGATAGATTCCACTAATCAGCCTCAATAACTTCCGGTTGATATTGTAGGGAGTAATGGAAATGCAACCATTTTGCAGGGATTCTACACCATTGCTGCTACAGCACCATTAGACATCAGTTTCTGAATTGGATGCTGGATGCAGCTGTGTCAGCTTCATCAAATGACAGACATGGAGCCGCTGTACTCAATTGTCTCTATATTGGCAAAAACTTCACCTTACGACCTGCAGCCATGAAGGTCAAGCAGTATTTAAAAACGTAGACAACTTAACCATGAATAGTTCATCTTTTGGAGCTTAACTTGAGAATCCTTCCTTCCTTCCTTCTTCCCTCCCTCCCTCCCTCCCTCCCCACTATCAAAATAGATATCACTGGCTGGCCATCAAGTTGCCACCAGCCTTGTCACGCTGCTTAAATTTAAATGGGAAGAAATTAATCCTCACATGAGAAAACAAGCCTTTTGTAGCTAAGCGCTGGAAGCTATCCCATGCACCAACCTTTTGTCACTTCACTGAGAGAAGAATGGAAAGAGTGACCCTTATTTTTCACCACAAATTCTAATAACTTGATTCCTGGAGGCATTTCAATCCCAAGGGAGGTTCCCTTTCTGATATCATAGCGGTTCTCAACCTTTACTTGACCCCAGATCCTTTTAAATATCTTTTGTGGCCACAGACCATGGCCACAGATCCCCAAGACTTAACTCAAGATTAAAAGCATTAGACTGCATCAAATATTTATGGGCCCCCTGTGACCACATCGCAAATGCCCAGGAGTCCGTGAATCAAAAGTTAGAACCACTGCAATATAACATACAAGATGGGAAAGGGATTTGTGGCAGGGATTTAAGGCTAGAAAATAATTACTTCTCCTGTTCTGCATCTCTTACATTCATGTTTTTCTCTTCACTATCAGTGCCTCCCCTTGATACTATGTCTACATAAGGACATTGATGACATTCCCCATGGGTCAAGGGGCTTCCCATCCTTGGGGGGCAAGCATTCTAAGAATCCTTCTGGAGCAGTGCATGATATGATCTCTCATATATATTGCCCTATCCCCACACTTAGTTGGTCTTGGTTTATTGATCTGCATGGGATGTGGCCTCCCATACATTTTGCCCTACGTGCAATGGGAGAACCACCTGCAACAACCTATTCAGGTGGCTGCTGGGATCTCCTTGACCACTTGGAGTTGGCCTATAGCTACTGCAGATTTGCTTGAAAAGCTGTACCTGGCATTTGCCTGTAGATGGGTGAGATACACCTTTGAAAGCCAACTGATAAGGTTATAGCCTGCCTGCAATCCATACAGCAGCACAGAGCTCTTCCCTTAGCAAATACCGCACAGCTTTTCCAACAGCTCCCCAAGCCAATGATAGCCATAACTTCAAAAAAACAAGGAGCTAGGCTACCACAACATCCACCTTTTGCTAGCCCAATGAGAACGCCATTCTCCTACAGCCAGCTGCAGTTGTATCACTCTTGATTCTAGGATATTTAGGATTTCCCTCTATACTTTCCATGTTCCCTTCCTTTGCCTCTACTCCTCAGATGGAAGTGGCAAGCAAAGGGTGCCCCAAAATCCTGGAGATTCTCAGCATGGTGTGAGGCAAATCAACATTTAACTCCAGGCTGACTATTATTTTTTTGTATTCTCCTTACTGCCTGTGAAAACTTGGAGATATATTTGTATTTATTTGTATCCTGCTTTTATCATTATTATTTTTTTTATAAATAACTCAAGGCAGCAAATATACCCAACATACCTTCCCCTCCTACTATTTTCCCCAAAACAATCCTGTGAGGTGGTTTGGGCTAAGACACTGCTGAAATATATTGGGTAATGGCACCAATTTGGCATGTGAAGTGATAAACCTGGTTCTGGACTATTCCATTTCATTTGGTAACACTTCTTGATACGTTAAAAAAAAATGTAATAATTTTCTAAGCTATGTGGATTTTTATACACATTTTGTTTTTAAAAATGGAAAGTGTTCAGTCATACATGTCAAATGAAGTGGCCCAATCCAGATAAAAATATATCAATTTACAATGGTTCTTCAGGAAAATTTCACACCACCAACCATGGCCGCCTTCCCCTCCCCTCCTGGACTCTTTATGTTTACCTACATGGCGTTGGCTGTAACCAGAAGGTCTGCATTATCGAAGAGAGTAAGGCCTGGCACTTCCACAATGAGGACATATATAAATTCAATAATCAACATCAAAATGAGTTTCCCGATGCAGCTGATCTGAAGGAACACGGAGCAGGCCAGAAGGGTCAGTAAAACACTGTAGGTAAAGTACTGGGAGGGCGCGGGTGAGGAAAAAGGGAATGAAAACAAGAAGAGAAAAAAAATCAATAAACTAAAGGTCATCTTAGCAGATTTACAAAACATGGTTAAAAAGGAATAATGTGTTAGTTGCAAATTAAGACTTGTCAGTTTCAAGGGTCTCCATCCTGAGGGCAGCACAGGCTAACTAACTTTCTTTCCAGGAGACCCGTGCAACCTCTGACCAAATGGGAGTTCACTGGACTTGTAAGATGCTTCCCTGACAACTCAGTGGTCATGGAGCTCATTCTCCCCACCTGCCCCCATGCCCCATTCTATAAACAGCTGGCAGGGCATCAACCTCCAGCATATTCAGTTGGATAGTTGACAAACGGTGCTGATAGTACACAGAATATGGAGCCTTTTTCTTTTTTCCATTGCTAATGGAGGAACCAAGATTATTTTTGAAATGATTTCTAAAACTAAATTGAATTTTACAACTGCAAATTACCACACAGGCTAATAGAACATAAGCATATTTTAGGCCTAGGAAAAAAAAGGTAATGAGTTTAGAGGTTTATTTAATCTTTTTTTTTCCAGGCCAAACTACTCTCCAATAATATGCAGTATTAGGCCAAATTCCCAGTGATCTAAAGAAATATTAGATACATTCTTCACTGTCAAAAAGAGGCATTTCTTTGAAAAGCTTACCCTCCAGCTCTGTGTGATGTGTATGTATGTCAGTACACAGATGCATGTACATGTATAAACTTTGCAGCATGCAGGAACAGAAATGTGCCTGCAGCTCCTGAAAGCAGGCTGTTGGGATTTGAAGGTAAAAGTTGCTTTGCATTGCCTGTAGATGCAAATATGGCACCTTTATGAAACACCTTGAAGCAACTATGAGTTCTGCAGGGGTTATAGAGCAATTGCAGAAGGCCCACCTACAGTCCCCAGAAAAGATGTAGTTGTGCTACATGTTTGCCTCTCCATGCTTTGAAGCAACTGCTCTGGAATTCCTTCAATAACATTTTCTAGGATTGTGCAAGGTCCCTAAAATACCCTCACAAGCATGGAATAGACTGGAGTCTTTTTAAGTTGGCAAATTTAGGCTGCAATTCTGTATATATCTTTGCATACATATCCTTATTCTTTTTGGTGGGACTAATGTCCAAGTGTTTGGAGAGCTGCAAGCTTTTTATCATCGGAGGGGGTCAACAGAGGCCTTGCTGAATCTCCCCTCCCATGATGAGCTCCTCCCTCTGTCCCCAACTACAATTTCTGCAGGCTAAGATACATAGAAAAACCTCTATGTCATGCCCCTGTTGGAGTCTGAATCTGAGGAGAAAGATACACAGCTGACAGGGAATGGAAGTGTGGCTCCATTGGCTGTGGAGGAAACTGCGGAAGGGCAAAGTCAGGCTGGGCAGAGCAGGGAAGAAGTAGAACAAGGGAGAGGGAGTTCAGAGGAAGACCCAGGCTCACCCCTTCTTCATCCTAGAGCACACAGGGAAGAATGGAGAAGAGAGCAACGCAGGTTGCATGGCTTACAGGGGAGGAAAGGACCCTGATTCCCTTCACTAGGCACACCTGGGAAGAGAGTTTAAAGGAGAGGCAGCTAAGTGCTGCGTTTGCCAGGAACAAACGTGAGTTTATCTTGTGTTGACTGTGGCTCTCTGCGTTCCTGGCATCTTCCCAACTGGGTTGATTTACTGCCGTGTTATTGCACTTCTGGAACTCCTTATGCTGCCCTGCCGAATTAATTACCTCATATTGCCTTGTTTGGACTTATAGTTAAAGTTTTCTGTTGACAACATTTTGGACTTGAACAGCTCTGAAGAGTTTTTCTCCAGACCAGAAGGTAACCAGAACCTTGGGGGCAAAGTTTGGAGCTAATAAAGGGATTCCTACTTATTATCTGGCTGTGTTGCCTTTGTGCCATGTCCTGGGCCATCACATTCTACACAGTTCAATTGGAAAAGCATATTGCTTTAAGGGTGTGGGCTCCGGAATGGGACTGCCTAGTGATTGTGTTCTTGAAAGTTATTCAATAAGCTCATCTTGCAATATGAATGCATTTAATTTTATATAAAAGTGCATGCGTCCCAGCACTTAGAAAGCTCCCAATTCATTGCCTAGAAAATGGCAATTCAGAAGGGAGCTACGCTAACGCTTATCCTGTGGTGTCCTAATTTTACAAGGCAAAGTCTGATTACACACAGGAACATTCTGAAATAAAATTATTCACTCCTCAGCCTGAAGGAGTTTTCATTACTTCATTGTATGGAACATGAAGAATTTTTCTTAAAGATCATACGGAGGGATTAAGAGTTGAGTGGCAAATGAAAGTACAAAAACCCAAGCCCTGTTTCAATAAAGGATTCTAAGGAGCAGATGATGCCATTTTAGTAGACTATATTGATAAAAGCTGAGAGAAAAACCAATATAATAATGAAGACCCCAATAGGATGTTACACCATTTTTACCCAAAACAAAGGCACCCACATTACAGCACAAAGCAAATACCTCTGGAAAGTTACAGTTTGGCTGGGAAGTAGCACAGAATCCTTCTGTGGTTTCCAGGCTATAATTGGAATAGCCAACATGGCACGAATTCACCTGAGGGGGAGTGAGATTATACTCTGCAGCTATACAGTCACGAAGGTCCACAGTACTACAGGTGAACTGGTAGAAAAAGAAGAGATAAACATCAAACAAAGACAAATCCAAGGAGAAAACTAACCAAAGCGGCATTCTTTGTGCCTCATAGTGTATACATGTCTTCGGCGGTAGTTCTTTATACCAATGCACACAAGATGGAGACTTTTCCTACAGTATTAAAATCTAGGGTCTTCCATTGAAGATAAATTGTGGAGAGCTTACGAACAAACAAAAGGAAATATTTCCTTCCACACCATATGGTCAGATGGTACATAAAAGTGACACTTTATATGATTTTAATCAGGGGCTGAGAAGTTTATAGAGGATTGATACATATCCACAAGTTTATAAGGAAATATTCTTCTAAAATCAAATTACATGCCAATTACAAAAGAGACAGAATAGCAAAGAAAGGAGATATGTAGAAAGTAAAATTTAATAGTTTTTCGTAATTTATATTAAATCTAATCAAATTGAATACACTGTGTATGATTATTCTATACGTTTATATTAATAATTACCAATCCACAGCAACATTTTGGCCTTGCTCTTCAGCTTCTGCAGCACTAATAATTCACACTAAAACTTAATCGTAAAAGGGAAATGTAGCATACCATATTGACAAAGGCCGAGAGGAAAACTAATACAACAGTGAAGACTCCGACTAGGGTGTTATTGGTCTTGCACTGAACAATTTTCCGTGAAAGAGTCTGGAGTGGACCTGGAAACAGCTGAATAGAAGGAGAAAATAAGATATTTAAAAGTATGATTTTGTACAAATCTATGGCATGCTGAAATGCTACAGGCATTAATATTTAATTGCCCAAGAATGAATGAATGGCCAACTGTCTCTCCCCACATCCATGTAATTTTTGCAGTGGGAATATACAATTGCTGAATAACTTATTATATTGACTTCATTCTCCCTGGTAGTTATAATAGATTTTAGGTGAAAATCAGAGAATGGCATCCAAAATTAGGAATGTTTTATGATCAGATCCACACTTGTTTTCACTGTGTGATCAAAGCCTAATTTGGGAAAGATGTATCAACTTGAATATGCTTACAAAAATCTTCAGCATTCTGTTCTGTTTCTAAATTGTAAACTATTTAGACTTTTCTAATATAAAAAGGGTTAAGGGAAATCAAGGTTAGGTGGACAACAAAGGCAAACAAAATAGTCAACTGATGATATCGATGCTGACAAATAAAAATGCCCTGAAACCTCAGAAATTTTATGTACTACGCTGACCTAAGCATAGTACATAAAATTATCTATTGCAATGTCCTACCTGTCAATGACTACTTCAGCTTCAACCACAACAATACACGAGCACACAATAGATACAAACTTAAGGTAAACCGCGCCAACTCTGTAATACGACTTCAGCAACAGAGTGGTCAATACCTGGAATACACTACTGACTCCGTGGTTTCTTCCCCAACCTCCCAAAACTTTAACCTTAGACTGTCTACTGTTGACCTCACCCCATTCCTAAGCAGTCTGTAAGGGGCGTGCATAAGCGCACCAGCGTGCCTACCGTCCTGTCCAAATGTACCCTTTTATTTGTATATGTTTGGCGTAGAACAAGCAAACTACAATTAAATCTGATCATCCTAAAAATTGATGGAAATGCTACCAAAGATACCAAAAGTGGCCTGATAGTTACCAATATTACCTTGAATAAATAAAGTCCAAAGAATGTTGACACATGAATTTGGGCTCCCTGAAGTGTATGTGTGCTGAAGTTTTTATCCTGGCTAGAGAGTCCTTTTTTCCTTTGTTTCTTCCTCTTCTTCTCCCCCACTTTTCTCCTTCTCTTACTATTACTAGGTTTTTGTTTGGTGTTAAGTGTTTTTTTCCCCTTCCAACTCCCCCACACGCATTTTTAATGTCACAAATCCATGGAGACCAAACAGATACTTTAGGCTCAGAATGCAAATGCAGAAATTCTATAGAAGTTAAAGGCCTCCCTGCTGGGTGTTAATTTCAGCTCATCATAGTCCTCTCCACTGCCATTCCTAGAGAAAAACCCAGAAACAAAAGAGAAATAACAGCTCCCATATCCATCACTATTATTTCATCAACTAGCTTCTAAGCATTTTTTTTAAAGGGGGGGGGGAACCCAATTAGTCTTTTAGCAATGACTAACCCATCAACCTCCCCCTTTTGCACTTAGAGAAGGACTTTCACTTCCTTCAAACACAAACATAATTATGAAATTATTTGATGATAGGAAACATGGATTTGCTGGCAAAAGAAAGAGGGGAACAATCCACATAAATGTGGATTGTTTTTAAGTTGCTACTCTCCCTGACATTGAATATAAAGATTTTTTTCTGTGTTTTCTAGAATAGGCAAAGGAATGGATTGGAAAGGAGGAGACATATAAGAACGTGACATAAGACACAGCAAAATGCAGTATCATATTGCTAGTGGTGAAGATGAAGATGATATGAAAATAATGGAATGTGCAGAAATGAGTAAATTGACATTAGCAATTAGACAGCAAGAAGATAAAGAGTATTATAAAATTTGGGATTTATTTCATCAATGGTTAGAAAAGAGAATAGGGAAATAGGATATAATACAATATAAATACAATGATAGAATAAAGATAAGACAATGTAATATGTTATAATGGATTATAATGAAATGAATATTATGAATTGAGATATCTTAAAAATTAAAATTTGCTCAAAAAGGATGATATAGTTTAAAAGTAAAGTCCAATAAGTAGTTAATAACAATATAATATAATATGCATATTCATGTAAAATAAATTTTAATAATGTAGTTAGAAGGGAAGGACTATTGATATTGTGCACAAGAAGATTTGTAACGGCCAACACACTGTACAATGAAAAGAAGGTTTTATGTTTTGTGTTTATGTTTGTTTGTTTGTTGTTAAAAAATAAAAAAATCTTTATAAACAAAAAGAAGATGAAGATGATGATACTAGAAACAGCAACAACATTTGACAATACTCTTGTGGTTAAACTAAGAGTGTAGCACACCAGCAGCTCTTACTGTTATGGATGAATCACAGTGAAATACCACGCCATTTTATATTGGCAGAAATAAATTATGCACCAAACCGAGAACAAAATTACAGGCAATCCTTGACATATAACCATTTGTTTAGAAACCATTCAAAGTTAAGGCAGGGCTAAAAAAAGTCGCTTCCTCGCACTTGTGACCATTACCCTCCCCCGTATTCATGTGATCCCAGTTTGGGCAAGCAACTCAAATGTATGACCCACTGCAATGTCCTGTGGTCAACCAATCGTGATTTGTGACTTTGTTGCTGTTTATTTCTGGCAAAAAGTTGCCATTTGGAAGGATGAGTTTGCATTTACAACCCATTCAGACCCATACAAAGGAGTTTGCTTAATGACTTTGGTGAGTGATTCACTTAGCAACCATCGTAAAAAAGGTCGTAAAATTGTGTCTGATTTGATTTATATCTGCAATGATCTATGATGGAAATTCTGGTTCCCACCTGTAGTCATAAGTTAAGGACCACTTGTATTATCAGCACTACTTATAAGTACTGATACCTCCCTTAAATCCAAGAGTATTTTTTAAAGCCGCATAGGTAAGTCCTCTCCAATCTGGATGCCTCTAGATGTATTGGACTTCTGTGTCAGCACTCCCAAACTGCATGATGTGAAAAGGACTGCTCTTTAGACTACCAACAAACCTGAAAACAGCCTGAAAATGGCCACAAAAAACAGCCTGAAAATGGCTCAAAAACCAGGCCGCTTGGGGGGCATTTTCAGGCTGTTTTGGGGACATTTTGGGGCCATTTTCGGTCATTTTCCAGGCCAAAATCGGCCCCAAAAACGGGCGTGTGAGGGGCCAGCCAGTGGTGGGATTTGCCGGTTGGCCGAACTGTACCTGATCTTAACTACCAGTTCACTAGAATCGGTGCGAACCGGCAGCAGTCCACCTCTGCTTTAAACCGGGAAAAGAGATCACTCTTTGTATTTGTCCAAGAACCTACATGCCTGTCATTTGATCATTTGGTAATATTTTTTTCAAAACTGCATAACTGAGCAAAATAGCCCATATAAGGAAGTATAAAAACAAAGTCTTCATATCAATGAAGGAGAAATATAATTTCATGAAGCAGTAGACTTTGCAGAGAACAATAATAATTTAGGATGGAAATGTTTAATGGTTAAAAGGCCAACAATGCATCCCAAGATTTGACATTGATGGTTTCAAAGATATGGAAAAATATGCAAGAAGGAAGGAAAGCAAAGGACCATGAAGGTGGTAAACCACGAGTTTTGCAAAAATGGGGCAGGGAAAATGGGTGGTTGTTTCAGAAATGCAGGAGTTGCTTCAGAGTACCATCAGAACTGTCTACATCAAAATGCTTTTGAATAACAGTTCAGAGTCTAAGCATTTAAGTTAACATGCCAAGGAGCTGGAAAGTTCATAATTTCAACTCCTAGATTTGTCCCCGAGTCTTTCATTAGCCAATGTTAGCCAAAGTTAACAGTTTCTTACTGACTTTTTTCTCCTTGTAAAGAAAATCAGAGAATCAGAAGAAAATCAGAATATTTGTGTTCTGGCTGTGTTTGTACAGCAGACAAAAGGGGAAGGGACTGATGAGGCCAGTCAAGGATATATGGCGCCCCAGGCTATATTGACTGAGTATCATCAGATGGAAAGATTTGTATTTTTGGAATGCTTTGGAAGGAATGGTAGCTTTAGTGACCTTCAAACTGAAGTCAACTGCCTACTTGGCTTTAGCCTGAAGTCTGTCATGTTGCTGGATGATATATATATGTATCTATTTATTGCTTGTATAAACATAAAATTTTGTGCTTTATCAAACCAACTGTTGCATACAACAATGATAATAATGTGATATAAAATTTTAAAGACCTGGAAATCTACAGTATATTATACATAAAACAATTCCCTACCCCTAACCTCTGATTTTGACCAAATTGCTTTATTAAGCCTTATTTCTGGAAGTTCAGTTAAAAAAAGGTCAAATGTTGGTAAACAATGCATATTAGCAATGGTGCAAACCAGAAGTTTATCTTTCCAATACTGTATATTTATGTTGGCCATTCCCCATGCATGGTTTTAAGCATCCTGATAAATGCCAAAAGAAAACAAGAAAAAGAAATTATTGAAACACAATCTTTCCTCTGAAGTTATGTTAAAAATCCTATGGATTTCAGCCCTAAATATTTCAGTAGTAGAATACCAAACCATGTGAATTGATGTACCAATAGGATGGGCATTGCTTCTAACCTATCATATATTCACTGAAAAAATACTGTTCTCATATTTGAGGAATTGTAGTTTCTATGGTCTTCATCTCATTTTAAGATCAAAAGAAATTTCCAATTTTAAAATCAACCTTCTACTAATTTACAAGTATGGGACATATAATCTCCTATCACTTTAATATTTTCTTGTTTCAGAACATAACTTTCAACCCACAAAAGTCATCGGAAAAACTGCTGCTGAGTTGTGATGGGAAAATGTATTAAGTATTTAGGGAGATCAAAATTTAACTCTTGACTTTCTTCACCATTTTCCTCTTGTTTGAAATATGGTTCCTACTATGTTACTTGCCATGCCCTTTTCCATCCAAACTCTTGTTTTAGTGTTTTAAGATTAATTAATTAAAACAGTACATCAGGAATCAACTTACCTTTACACAGGAGTAAATGACTGAAACAAACACTAGTGTGGTCAATATCACAAAACAGGATAGGTAAAACGCCAGCATGAACACTGAGCTGAAACCAGAAAACAAAGTCAGGTGAGTCTACAGCTTGCATTATCCATAAATCATACAAAATCTCTATTATCATCCTAGATCAGCATAAGGTAGGTAAGGTGCAATCAATTAAATAGCGCAGAAGATACATTAGAGACCAAAATGAGAAAAAAAATCAATAAAAATACAAAAAATCAAAACGTATTAAAACAGAAAGCGTATGTATACATGTTTGTCTAAAAAGTATCTAAAAGGAGGGGTAGGAGCATTAGAAGGGTAAGGAAGCATAAAAAGTTCAAATTACTCTAATAGGCACACTAGATGCTCATTAAATTTAATTGATGGCACAGGTCACCATCCAATGAACTTTGAGCACTGCTGTGCAGAACCTGGCAACAATGCCTGTGAGCAGCAGGGAGATGTGGAATTGTCCTGGGTGCCCTGGATATTTATGCAATAATGGTGAGATGAGACTAGTATGGCTATCTCTATAATATAAGCACTGGAGAAGCATATGCTCTGTTGTTTCTGTGTTTTCCGAATCACAAGGGCATTGCCTCTTCAGGTAAGGAATTTTCTTGTATCAGCCTTCGTACCAGGGTACCAGTCCTCCAGCATTTAGGGATTTCCAGTTTAGATATATAGAGTCCCTCTTGGATTCCCTGGCAATAAAGGTTAGTCCAATTGGCACTCTGAATCTGCTACATACTCTGGTATCCTCCACTTCCTTGAGATACAGATCACAACTTTATAATGTAGATATTAGCTGCACCTTCAAGACAACTTCTCTAGCACAGGTCAGCTAGGTGCAGCAATCTTCAGTTTAAAAGAGAAACAAAGAGATGGTAAGGGAAAGACTTTCACATAAATTCTATAATGTAATTAAGAGAATGGGAAAACTCATTTGCTGGCTTTCTTAATCAGCAAGAATCAGGTTGGGAACATCAATACCATTCCCCTTGGTATTTTATATAAGCTTTCCATTACAGAGGTGTCTGCAGCAATAAGCAAACCAGTGGTACAAGGCCCTTCAGTTGCTGCTGGACTATAATGACCCATAAACCCCAGGTGCTGATAAATGTCAGGGGATACTGAAGATACTAATTCAACAGCACATTTTGAAATATCGTAGAGGCAAGAAACTTGCCTTTATATATCCCATTTGACAAGACTTTATTGCAATATCTTGTTGGTATCACGTACGAATTCTTTATAGCACATGCAATATTGGGTAAGCTGTCAATATTCCTATTTCTCCATCATTCTTCTTTGTCTCCCCTACTCTGAAAAAATGCCTGTAGAAAGACAAAAGGACACCAGAGCAAAGGCACAACATGGTTGCGTGCCACCAGCAATGCTGCTGCCTTCAGAGGCATTTCTAATGACCACTGGAGCTAAACTATATTTAGATCTTTATTTAGTGTTATCTGCCATTTCAGTTTTGAACCTCATTACCATATATGAGTGTACATTTTATCTTGACAATTTTTCTGACTTATTATGTATGCAATCCACAAACCGAGCAGGCTTGCATTCCTTCTGCCATGCAACTTCATCCATAATTAAAACTACAATGATTATCAAGCTCAGGAACATTAAGGCTAACCTCGTGAAAGCCAGCAGGGTTTCAAATTCGTTTTTGACTACAAAGAGCACTTCCACTTGCTAATTTATTCACCTCTTTCCTGGCATTCCTGCTGATTATAATGGAAGGATCACGGCAAAATTTTCAAGAAAACAAAATACCCCACTGAATTTCAAAGACCCCTTCAAAGCATATTCAGTGTCATAAAGCATCTATTCCCCCTATCAGATGAGCAACACAATCAATCCTATAAACCATTTTGGGAGCAGTGCATTTTGTGCCTACAATCCCCTCCTTATTCCTTCACTACTTGGAGAACATCAGAGTTTCTAAAAACAAGATTTTATGTTGCATCTGACCTGATATTTTATGGCTGAAATATTACTTGCAATAAAGATATAAAGCCAGGGATTTTCCCCTAAGAATATAAAGCTGACAAAAGGGAAAATGTAGGTTAAAAAATCTGTCTGAAAAACGACTTGATTGGGCAGAGACTCTTTGTCTAAACAGGGCTCTTACAAAATATGATAATGTTGTCGTTCTGATCTGCTTTTAGAGACCTTTTGTATTCATTGAATGATAATACATAACCTACTTGTTTTGGGGAGTGTAGCTCATAAAACATAGAAAATAGAGTTGGAGGGGCCTCAGAGATCTTCTAGTCCAACCCACTGCTCAAGGAGGAGACCCTGTATCATTTCAGGCAAATGGTTGTCCAGTCTCTTTTTGAAAGCCTTCAGTGATGGAACACCCACAACCATTGAAGGCAAGCAGTTCCACTGGTTGATTGCTCTCACCGTTAGAAAATTTCTCTTTAGTTCTAAGTTGCTCCTCTCCTTGGTTAGTTTCCAACTGTTGTTTCTTGTCTTGCCTTTTGGTGCTTTGGAAAATAGTTTGACCTCCCTCATCTTTGTAGGAGCCCCTCAAATATTGGAATATGCTATCATGCCACCCCAGTCCTTCTTTATCAAGTTCCATCAAGCTCTATCAAGAAGAACATTTGCCAGTGCCTGTAACAAACCACAGCTCCTAGACATGGCAAGTAGAAATCAAGATGGCATCATGGGTGTAAAAACAACACCGCTTTCTATGGTAGAATGCAGCGGAAGAATCTTTTCCAGTGTGTTAACATTCCCCAAATTCTTAGTCAACTTAGCCAGCACTTTGTACTACTTGAAGGTTGGGAGAAGTCTACTTATGCCTTCCTGCCTGCTTGTCTGTCTCTAAAATCTCTTTGAGTTCTAGTACCTATCTTTTATCAGGGTTAAATCACATAATGATCAGCTGTAAGCTGAGGGCATATACTGGTCCAGTGTCTGATTTTTTTAAAATATAAATGATGTTCTTGAACATAGAACTTTTTAACATTTATATTTTATTGCGTTTTACTATTCCTAATGTAATGTTAATATATATTGCTAGACCATGTAAGTATGCTAAATGAAATAAATAAGGGTTAAATTTCAATTCCTTCAAAATAACTATTGATATTGTTAAAGTATGGCTCTGTTTTAAACCATCTTTTGTTTCTGTTGTTGTTCAGCCAGTCAGCTGAAGTCCTGCTCTAATGGACCTGCTTGAAGATTGCAGAAAAAGAGCTGGTTTGGGTTTGCAGTGCTGTAGATAGTGAATCTAAACAGCTTCCCTGATCCAATGCTTAATAAAATGCCCTACATCTCTTGTAAATTCCACCCAACTTCACTGATGCAGTTCCAACTCTTGATACCTTTTTTTAGGAAACAGGGACAACTCATATAGCGAGTTTTTAAGTAGGTTGCCCTTGCCTCCTCCCTAGGGCTGAGAGAGAATGATTGGCTCAAGGCTATCTAAAGTGGAACTGAACTCAGTCTTCCAGTTTATAGCCTACTTTCTTAACCACGACATCAAACTGGTTCTTAATTACCACGATTACTTCCATTTTTAAAATATTTTTCTTCATCTAGAAAAGGGGAGTCAAGCTCGTGTTGTCATGGCAGTGTCACGTGACATATCGGGACTTTTTCCCCCTTCACTAAACCGGGCGTAGGCGTGGCCAGCATTTGATGCATCCGGCCCACAGCCGAGAGTTGACAGCCCTGATCTAGATTAAAACCATGGGTTGTAGGCAACTTTTATATGGCTCAGAGTTGTTGGGTTATATAGAATATATAATCTTCTGCATAACCATATGCAGGTACAGCTTCAAGTCCAACTCCCACTTCATCCATTTAAATATATTCTTTTTTTATCACAACATCCCTTCAACATGGTTTTGTTACCTATTAATAAATATATACTTATTCTATTTCTATGAATATGCCTTGTATCTTAATAATTATATAAATTACTGTATCAGTTTACAACTGTAATCTGCAATCTTGTACTTTTATGAAACATCTTGTGATTTAATTTATTGTCTGAGATAAAATGGCTGTCAGTGCTTCTGTTATATTTATTTATAAAAAATGTATTGACTGCCCATCTTATCACAGAATAAGATGCTATTTTACACAAGAATTAATATTAATACATTAACATTCAGAAACACATAAAATGGGGATTACAAACACATTTCTACTTTGTTTTTTGTTTTTTTGACAAAATGGGTTCTCCAGACCTTATCTCAGCAATAGATGCCCAGGACATATTTCTAGCGCTGCACAATATGGTTGGGAACAATCAGAAGCAAAATAGTAAATGTTCTTGTTTTTGTGATTGCTGGGGCAGTTTTTATTAAAGTGGCAAATCCCGTGAAAATCCTCATTCAATGAAAATTATATATCTGCATATAAAGATTCCAAGATGCTAAACTCATCTAGAAGGAAACACTTTAATCCCTTTTAATCATATATTCAGTGCAGAGATCAGGCTGATTGTAGGTGCAAGTTTCATGTGGATTTCTGTTAAGTTTTCCTAGATGAAGCCCTCTAAAATGTAAATGATACAGCTTTGATTACTGCTGCTTTTTGAACCAGCTCTGCCTTTTGTGCTCTAGCACAAGAGTTCACAGTGGTAGTTAAAGACCGGGGAAGTTTCATGAGTAAGGTAGAGCAGGCATTCTTGAAGAGCATTAGCTGAAGTGGACTGCATTTAACCGAATAACAGAGTTGGAAGGGACCTTGGAAGTTTTCTAGTCTAACTCCCTGCTCAATGGTATAGGAGACCCTATACTATTCCAGACAGGTGGCTGCCCAGTCTCTTCTTAAAAGCCTCCAGTGATGGAGCACCCACAACTTCTGAAGACAAGCCATTCGACTTTCATGGCAACCACTCTTCTTTCCATCTCTTTTCTTCTTAAACATCTCTCCCTTCCCTTCCCTTCCCTTCCCACATATTCTCCTTCACCAAACATCTCCTGCCTCCTTTGATGGAGAGAGGCAGATGGGAGAAAGGCTGGAATTATCACACCTGATGCTTAGATCCCCCTTTGGAAAAGGAAGGAGACTCTTTGACATACTCATTTCTCTTCCTTTGACATACTCATTTCTCTTCCTTCCAACCAGCTTGGAAGGTATCAATTCCATTCAACAGCATGCTTTCTTCTGAAATGTTTTTCAACTTTTGATCCAGCCTACAGTCCTGGGGCTACAGTCCTACAGTCCTGTTCTGAGTACTAATCAGGTCAAAGTTGGCGAAGATGCTATCCCTCACCATTAACATTTTTCTTCATTTCGGATCCTACTTTCCTACTGCCCTAGCTTAAAAAGTCACTACAATGTTGGTGTAACCTTGCATGTTCCCTAATTCTTGACTCCTTGTTTCCAGAAGCCCTTCTTTGCTTTTCAGTTTGAAGTACAAAACATCTCCCTTATTTGTAGCAGTTCCACCCAAACTGAAGTTCTCAAGATTCTTTGTCTGCAGTTGAGGTGATTTAAGCACAGCTTCTTCTGCCATATGTATTCAAAATATGGAGATCAAAGTGTACAGAAGGCTTCTTGACAATATACAGTATCTTGCATAGTTAACAGGAGTGAAACTGTTCGGAGCAAAAGTTCCAAAGTTCAACTTTTAAAAACTCTTTTGTATCAATTAAACATTTCCAAATGGGAAGGTTCCTAAAGATTCTACCTATCTACGATCTATTCCTACTTCTATAATTCTTATAATTTATCATTTATAATTCTTGTTTTAAAATGAAAGCTTCCCTTCTGTGTGCATATTAAATGCTAAAATGGTGAGATACTGTGCTGCTCATTTTGGACAATTGTGCCATTGAGATTTAGTACAAAAGGCAATGGAGGTTTCAAGAACCATAAAAAGCATTTATGGGCCACCAGTTGCTACCCGATTTTGCTTTAGTGCAATAAAGCTAAACACAGACAGACAGAGAGACAGTAGATAGATATTAAATAACCAAATGTACAAAGATCTACTTACTGCGGCACTATTGTGATCTGAACAAAGCAAATGAAGAGGAAGACTAGGGAAGCACAAGCCACATATGCACCAAATCGATCATCCACCTGTTTGGAATACTGCAATGAAAGAAACCATTCCATGTTTTTTAAAAAAACCTGAAAACTCCGAGTCATAGGCAACAATTTATGATCTACTAGATGTTGTTGAAACTCAGCCCCACCATCTGTGGTAGATCAATAGCCAAGGATTTTATAAAGTATAACCTAGCAATTTTAAGAGAGCCACTAGTTGCCTTCTACCTACAAGCCCTTCTTAGCAATTTTGGCTTATATTGACTGAGCTGTAAGATTCCCTGGACACTGACAAAAAGATTTTCAGATTGATAGCAGGGATTTCTGAAACAATCATCTTTATAGGTATCTGAACTGCTTGGAAAGAAGGCAAAAGATCATAAGCCAATTATATTCAATGCAAGACCACTTCTTTCAAAAACTTTTTGAACATTACCTTTCCTGGAAAGAGACTGCAACATAAACTTGTTGCCAATATGAAAAAATAACTTTTTTCTAGTTGCTGCGGCAAATTCTAAAAAGAAAATCTTTGAATGAAGGCCTAAATAGATGTGAAAAGAACAAACCCAAGTCCTGAAACACATGTCTCCCTAAATCTTATGGAAGGTCATGACAACCAGATTTCCAGGTGCGGTTCTATGGCAGACGACTTGCGTCCAAAATCGCAGAGATGGCACTGCAAACTATGGCCAGTGATGATTTTTGCCTTGCAAAAGTCTTTCTGGATAAAAGAGAAGCAAAGACCTCTTTTCATGTTCCTGTACCATTCGACATTAAACTAATCACTTTGGGATGAACACCCTTCAAATGGTGGTGAGTATGAACAGATTTCCAGAAAAAAAATGGCTGACTACAGGATGCAGGTGACTCTGAGAGCACAGATAAACCTCCAAGTGGCCTCAATGACTCTCAGAAAGAAGGCTAACAACCAGATGACAGTAAGGAATATAAATCCATCCATTCTCCACCATTCAGTCAGAACTGGAGAAGTTCTTGAATAAGAAGCAAAACGTCTTCAAGCAAAACAAGAAAATCCAGTTGTCTTTTGAACATTGCGTTAGAATATTAGAATACTGAGAGCATTGTAGATATAAACATTCTATGGCCAAAAATGCCTTTTATGAGTTTTAGCACCAAAGCATTTTATAGGGAAAAAAACATGGGGAAATTATTTTTATATATGATCCCTGCTGCGAAACAACTAAGGGGTGTGCATAAGTCTACCATCGTGCCTCCCATCCCTGTCCTATTGTCCCCATTTAATCATACCTATTTTTTGTATTCTTACTCATGTTTACACTTATACCTATTATTTTGTAAGCGACTGACAAATCAAATAAATCAAATAAAAATAAATAAATAAACTATATACCCCAAAATAGAAAGATTCTAAAATACCCACAATGGAAGCATGGTTGATGAAAATAACAGAACAGAGATGGCAAAATTAACTTGTTTGCTTAGAGAAAGATCAATTATTAAATTTATTAGTTATCAGAAACTCCATATAGACTTTTTGCTGGAAAAAGAAAAGACACGAATAGGTAGATTATAGAAAGGAAAATTTTATATCTTCAGACAGAGAAAGTAAAATATAAATATATTTATGAGTGCTGTTAAGAAGACTGGACCTACTTCTTGATTTTTCTTTTTTTTCTTTTTCCTTCTTTTCTCTTTTCTTAATTTCTTTTTAACTTTTCTCTTCTTTACTTCTCTTATCTTTAACTTAAAGTTTGATATTGTTTTTGTTTTGTGGAAAAACTTACTTAATAATACATACAATACTTACATATACATACATACATACATACATACATACATATATGCAGTGCATGATGGCCAAGTAAAGAATTGTTATTTACAGTATAATTGCCTAATTTAATGCCCAATTTTCCATCCATTTGTCTACTGAAAATGGGTTTTTGAGGGGGGGAAATCAACAGAATTACTGAGGTAAAACTATGTTTTCAAATGGAAGGAGGTTCTAAAAAATTCCATGAGGTACTTTTTCTGGACATTCATATGAATTTTTACACAGAACTATGATTAAACACACCAATTTGCTGCCCTGATATCTAGTTTGCTCTTGCTAGTATTTAACAGACCCATACATTCTTATGGAAGTTTACCTTTTTCTCCAAATCAAGTTCCCTGAACGTTAACAGAAACTTGCGAACATGTTCTGAACGTAACCGATCAATACTTCTTGCATCAATTGCACGACCCAGAAACTCATCTACCTCATCTTCTGGATTCATGTTTTCCTGGATATTCCTGAAACAACAGAATAAAGTAGAGGCCAATTAAGTGGTGTTTATGCAAAAAACGTTTTTTAAAGTTGCTACTTAACTGACTAGAACTTTCCAGATGTAAGATCCCACTCTAAGGAACACCTCTGCTATGTCCCATTCTACAGTTCTTTGGCTCCTTTTTCTATAGCAGACACAATGCGCCTATCTCATCCAGGGGGTTGACAAAAATGTGGTGGAAATTAATACAACCATATTTATAACCACAATATGTAATTTAGCCTCTCACTCCTTTATTCAAACTTTTCTTCTCTTGAGTTCTTTTTTGGGGTTTGTCATTCCAAAACTGACAATGGAGGCATCTCCTCCCCCAGGTAGTAATATCATTTCCTCCCCTAGGCCTGCCTCTGGAACAAGTGAAAGAAAGATAGAATACTTGACCTATGATGGCAATTGGAACCGGAATTTCTGTCACAAAGCATGGCCACAATCACTTTGCAATGACACTCCCTGGCTGTCCTGGTTGTTACTCTAACCAGGTTGATAGGTGAGACTGCAAGGGTCAGGGAGGATGCATGACGGAGGTGTAATGAGGGTAAGGGAGTGTGCATGAGAGTGTGTGTGGGGGGAGCTACTCAAGGCATATTGAGGCATATTGAGGAAGGTGTATGAGGGAGCAAAGGAGGTGCAGAAAGGCTCAGAGAGTGTTGAGCAGAGCTGCACAAGTGATGAGGGAGGCTCGGGGTTATTTGGAAAGATGCACAGGTGTGTGTGAGTGGCCAGCACAGCCCAAGTGGAAAGGGGCTGGGATGAGGGTGACTTTTCAGAGTGATTTGTAACTTCCCTGCAGGCTTCCCAATTGACTTTCTGAAGAAGTCAGCAGAGAATATTGCAAATTGCAATCACGTGATAGTGAAATGCTGCACCCAGTCATAAATGCCAGCTGGTTTTCAAATGCCCAGATTGCAATTAAGTGACCTTGAGATGCTGGGATGCGTAAAACACCAAGGATTGGACATAACAGCATTCATTGAGTACCATCGTAACTTTGAACAGTTGCTGAATGAATGGTCATAAGTCCAGAACTACCTGTGCAATGAATCTTCACCCCCTTCAGTCATACTCTCCTTCAGGATACTATAAACTGTAAAGGACACAAGCAGATCAAGGCACTCCAGTACTCATGCGCACTTAAATCACCTAATTAAAGATTTCTAAAACTATTTTTATTCTGAAGACATATTTTATTCTGAAGACATATTTTGTCAGAAAGGACAAAGAGATTTGTAGTCTACATTCATCACTGGTTGGCATGTAATGGAAAATATTAAAAGGCATAGCCATTGCACACCATACAGAATTCAAAATATTCTGCCGTAACCTTCTGCGAAACCTCTAAAAGCTATTTTATTCCTAAGAAGGTAGTAATTTAGTATAAACCACAAGATGTTTTAATAAATGGTAGTCTGGCCCAGTTCTTCAATTATTCACTGCAGATTTTCAGAGCCAATGTAGCACTCATTACATTTTCTTTGGCATCATCACAATTAAAAAAAAATACTATCAAATATCTTTAATTAGGCAGTCACTCGTCTGATTATTTTGGAGTTCTGTCTCTCTGCCATTTTTCGCCTATGCTAGATAACTGCTTTCCGAAATTTGCCAGCTGTCATTGCAAATTTAGTTGGCACCCATAATATAGGCAACAGCAACCCAAACATGCTCTTTGTTTATTAAAATCAGTCTTATTTTCATAAATATGGATGATGCAGGTTGACAGAGAAGTAATATCAGGTAGAGCATTCTCTTGGGTAACATGAAAAAAAAAATTAAAATATGCCTTACTTTTTATTAAGCAAGAATTTTAATTAAAATAAAAAATAATGTTCATTTCAAAAGAAAGAGTTTTGGTCTAAAAACACTGAATTGGATTCAATGTAGAAGTAGACTCTGATTTTTGGAAGGCAATAAGAAGGGGAAATCTAAAAATATCACTTCTTTCTGCCAACATAATTGGTCTATTTAGTCAGACACCTTCTGCAATCCAAAGGAACTGTTCCATCTGTAAATGTAAGACCCTACTTTTAAGCCAATTTTTTTTTTCAAAACAGAAAAGACTGTTACATTAAGGCAGTCTAAATTGGCATCAATCCCAATTCATCAATTTTTTAGAAAAATTTCTCTTGTTAATGGTAAATTAGCAACAGAAGGGTATGCTTCTGAAAATGTTTCCTAATTAAACTCCCTGCAGTGTTAGTTACCATACTATTCACATACCTTTTATTATGAAACTAAAACAAATGGAGAATTATGAAGGGTAGGGATAAATGGGATTTTTAATTATAAAAAATGTATTTAAAATATATTAAAAGGAAGAAATTAGATTCACATTATATTTATCCCGAATAAATACTTTTAACATCTCTCTTTAATGCCATAATTTTGAACACTTTAATGTGATTGTCAAGAGCTAGTTTGCTGTATGGATTAAAGCACCAGAAACCAGAGTCCTACCCTGAGGTGGTATTCAGCAGGTTCTGACCAGTTCTGGGGAACTGGTAGCAGAAATTTTGAATAGTTCGGAGAACTGGCAAATACTACCTCTGACTGGCCCTGCCCCCATCTATTCTCTGCCTCCCAAGTCCCAGCTGATTGGCTGGATCTTATTTTGTTGCCCTGCACAGGAGAACAGAGCTGGGAAGAAGAGAGCGGGGTGGGGAGAGAATGGCGATTTTACAGTATCCTTCCCCTGCCATGCCCACCAAGCCACGCCCACAGAACCAATAGAAATTTTTTTTGAATCCCACCAATGGTTAGCTGGGTTACCTTGGGCCAGTCCCTCTCTCTCAAACCTAGAAAAAAGTACAGGTGTTGCCTGTGCAATCGATAGGAATCAACTGGCTCAAAGTTATAAAATATTGTATTACTGTTTTCCTTCATAAATTAAATTGATTATCTCATGTAATACATCTCTATAGTTCCTTATGTGAACCGTGAGTCCTTTTTTCTTCTATGGGTAAGCAAGTGCATATATACTCTTATAATATGTCATAATTATTCAACCAGCGGTTTTCAAACTTATCCAACAATATGATGATACATTTTGTATTCTAGGTTTTACCAGCATGTCTTTTCAATTATAATTTTGTCAGAGTGCCAAGGATATTTTTGCTTTCAAATTTCTTTAGGCTTTCTCCTTCCAAAACTACATGGCAAGAAAGAAAGAAAGAAAGAAAGAAAGAAAGAAAGAAAAAAAGAAAGAAAGAAAGAAAGAAAGAAAGAAAGAAAGAAAGAAAGAAAAAGAGAAAGAAAAAGATGCTCAGGTCTTCTGGTGTAAATATGTCCCTTGACATTCATGGAAATTGGTATCTTGGTAGACAAAATAATAAGAAAGGAAGATCTGTTTAATGTTTTTTATCACCCTTATTCTCATATTCATATAATTCTAGGATCTGGTGAACTATATATCTCTTCTACTTTGATTAGAAATAGCTAATTTACTACCAGCTCAACATACTATCTCCAATAAATTACATTTTACAGATGAATCTAAAAACTATTGTACAAATTGAAAACGTCAAACTTTAACTTTCTAAGATGTAGGAGGCATTTTCCACAGTCTTCTATAGACTATAATCAGCAGTCAACAAGGAAGATGACCAAACATATAGGGATATACAGAGATGAGTTAAAGGGTTCCTATATCTTTCCTGCTCAGTCATCCATTTTTATGCAATTTGAAATGACTTCTCTAGATGTGTCACAAAGGAGGGATGGAATGAAATCAACTGCTTGCTTATCATCCTAAGAAATGGCCTCTAAGTACACAAAATTAATTACAAAAATCTTGCTGTTTTTTGAAAACCAAACCATCTTTTTAAAATCAAGATTTACTGAACAAATACTATATAGGTCTAGTTTAATGTTTTTTTTAAAAAAAGGATTAAATAATAGTATTTGCAAGTTGGTACTTTGTCCAAGGCAAATTCTTTACCACAACTACCCTTCACTCTTCCTCATTTATAAAAAACATTTTAAAGTTATCATCCCTTCTTTTGATTTTTTGTGTGTATTTTAAATAAATTAAGATTCTGTATGATTAATTATTAAAGCTTACATTAAAAAAATAAAAAAGATACAATCCGTAGCACAGTGATATGATGTATTCTAACCTCTAACAAGTATTTATGGAGAAAATTACAGCAAAAAAAGCACCAAAATAAGATTGTACTCTATTTTGTACAGTGACAAACTTCACATATTTCAATAAAAAAGAATAATTAATGTTTCCTTTTCTTACTTGTCTTTTGGATCTTCAAAACCCTGAAAAGAAGAGAAAGAAATGCTAATTAGCCAAACAAAATGACACTGAATACATTAGAGTTAATGCAAAAACACTTAGGGGACATCCATTTGTAATATCATGCTGATAAGTGTCTTGCCAAGAGTATGGAGCATTATCTATTCCAGGTCAGGGCACCGAACATTTTGCAAACTTGAACTTAATGGAACAGAGTTACTATCTCAGTCAGCTGCTATGTGCAACATCTGCATTTATTCTAAGAGTATCTTCTTTTCTCAGAAACGCCATGCTTCCTTTTTTTGTGCTCTGTATAGTTAACGTGTATAGTTAATGTGCCTAATATTAAATAGATAGCGTATGGATAATCCCTTAAAAAACATGAAATAATCACTAACACGTCAGTCAACACACACTGTTTACATCTGGCTTATGTACTTAAGACAGGAAAGTGTAATTGTGGTATACACAGCTAGGTGACAGTATTTCTCTAATATTTGCTTATCTCAAAAAATAAAAACATTGTAAGTATTTGGACAAGAAACTACTAATTCCTAGAACTGTAGACTGGAGAACAAGAGACAAAAATCTCGGAGGAACATACATAATGGTAATTCATTTCCATAATTTTGCAAAGAAAAATCATATGCATGTCATCAGGAACTAAACTTGAATGCTCAGAGGCATTAAACATGTTACAATCATGAATATACAGAAAACATATTAATACCTATAATACAGTGGAATGGTTGAGATCATGTATTCTTAACTTTGAGCTGAGAGGACTCAGTCTCACAATTGCAGAGCACAATTTTCCTTCAGGAAAGTGTTTCCCACGCTTTTAATGCACATGGAGTTGGTGCAGTTCTAGAGGTATGAAAGGGTAAATCGACAATTTTCTCAGAGTGCAGGGCCTTATGAAGCAAGTACCTTGTTTTTTTGTTTTTGTTTTAAATAAAAGATACTCTGAACTGGACTTACTGCTATTCCATTCCACTGTTTTCAAAACATTTATCTGACTTCAGATAGCTTTCACGTTTATTTATTGAGACATACAGGTAAACCACAACTTACAACAGTTAAATTAGTGACCATTCAAACTTACAACAGCACTGAAAAAAGTGACCTACGATTGTTTTTCACATTTATGACCGTTGCAGCAATTCTTTCCCTATGGTCACATGATCAAAATTAATATGCTTGGCAACTGATTCATATTTATGACGGTTGCAGTCTCCCAGGGAGTCAAATGATCCCCTTTTGTGACCTTCTGATAAGCAAAGTCAATGAGGAAACCAGATTCACTTAACAACTGTTGCTACCAACTGAACAACTGCAGAGATTCACTCATGAAATGGGGCAAAATTCACTTAACTGTTTCGCTTAGCAACAGGAATTTCAGCTCAATTCTGTTCGTAAGTCAAGGGCTACCTGTACATGTGTTGCTGATTGGTTTCTGTTCTTAAAACGTTTGGAGCTTTTGATTACACTTTCCAACATTGGACTGCCAAAGTCATCTACAAATTCTCTAAAATCTGAAACCTGTGTGATTTATAATCTAGTTTCCAAAGAATTTATTTTTTAACATTTTATTCTTCCTGAGAAACACCAGGTCCCCAAGATTCTTAAGCCTCTTTTTGTGTGTGTGTTTGTGTGTGTGTGTATACATCTTTCTTTGGTATGATTTTTAGTGCTGAATTTTAACATTTCAATCTTAACTTCATTTGTATTTTATCAATAATATTTTCATACTATTTTTGATTGAAATAACTAATAGTACTGAAAAATACCCAAAGAAACAGTGAAGTGGAAAGGTGGAGGTAAAAGTAAGAGTTTGATAATACTGGAATAAAATTTAAAATTCCAACAATAAAATTTCAAAATAAAATTTAAAATTCCATAAATGAAATTCCAGAATAAAATTTAAAATTGCATAAATAAAATTCCAGAATAAAACTGAAAATTCCATACATAAAATTCCAACCAGTGCTCTTATTGGAATATAACTGACTCAGCAGTCCTTCTTTCTCTGGCTGGAAGAAGATTCCAGAATGTGTTTTCCTCTTACTTTTGCAGTGTGAGAACTAATGAACAGTGTCAGGTGCCTTTCTAGATGTTGTTATATGCAAACATGTATTTCTTTTGTTTATAATAATTCAATTAGTAATTCTTATACATTATATAAATACATAGGCTATAACTTGCTAATTTAGATTGTACAATTGAATGGAATTATGGTATTCAGTTTACTTTACTTTTTAGCTTCTTGCAGTAGTTGAATTCTTTCCATTGCTAATTGGGCAATAGCTATATTATTTAAAATTGGGAAATTGTTAATGTCAGAAAGAGATAATAATAATTTTTAACTCATTAGTTTATATCTACTTTAAATAAATGCTTTCTTTTCCTTAAAGCAGAATGGGGGAACTTATGACCTCTAGATTTTGAATTTCCATAGTCACTTAAACACTAACTAGGCTAAGGCTGCTAGGAATGGCACAGCAGTAACAACTGGAAGGCAAATGTTTCCTTATGCCTCTTTTGCAGATTGTCAAGGAAACAAAGAAAATCAGAAAAGATGCTTTTAATTTTTTTAAAGATAATTTTAATAAGATACTCTTGAACAATCAGGTTGTTGAACAGAACTGTTTGGGAAAGGAAAACTGAATTTAGAACGCTATAAGAGCCCTTTGTTGAAAAAGAATCATGATGTTTCTCCTATTCTAAAAGCAAACTCTCATTGTATATTGTGCAAATCAGTTTGTTGGGTGCAGCATAGTGGCCACATTTCTGATTAGGCTCTAAGTTTGTAGTTGAACATCCAAAATTTCTAGTCTCTAAGTTACATTGGAAAAAGCAATTGCTCGTCATTGAAAGATAATCCTTTTAAGTGTCTGGGTCTCCTCAATTATCCAGAACTTAAATGGACGCTAATAAATATGCTATCTGTAGAATACTAATTGTCAAAACTGCCAATGGATCCTGCTCTAGTTCCCGGATTACTATCAGTATTGAAATGGGGTTTGGGTTATTTTCAGTCTATATTCTTTTTTAAATATATAGTTAACACTATTTGCTAAGGCAGATATTAGTTATTTGCAAGTATTTTGGAATAAACATTTTGTACATTCCATACTGATAAGTCAATGGCTAAATGAATGTCTATTACTCTCTAAAAAGAACCAGTGTTACAAGTAATTAAAACTTTTGCATCATGTGCAGAAAGAAATGCAATTACAAAGTGTTTACAATGTTCAGCTTAAACATATAGCATTTCATACCTGCAAAAAGTTAATGACATAATTTGCATTTCCCTACTGAATATCTGCTTTTAAAATTAGATCTGTTGCAAGGTACAGTGAATACATATCCTGTAAAGTCGTTTTCTAACCAAATTTCAAAGATACATTATTAAAAGGAAAATCGATTTATTGGGTATTTTGTTAATGCATAGTTAATATGCCAAACAAAACGGAGCTTATGCGAAATAATTGAATTTCATAACCAATGCAGGCTCTTGTGAAGCATTTTAAATTGAACAGACACTTCTTTTTAAAGACTGCATTTATGGAGATAAAGCACCTTTTGTATACAATAACCTGTGGATTTACTCTCCTATTTGTATCTCTAAAGATAACAAAGAATGATAACATATTAATATTTTGTGAATTGGGGCTTCAGAAGATGGTTTTAACAATGATTCCTGATATCCATAAGCATATTACATGCTTTCAAAATCAAACAAGAAGTTATCACCCATAAAGGCCTAGCTTATGACTAAAGTATGTCTAGCAAATCCCCACAACACCATTTTTTCTTTAATTTGGATGGTTTCTCTCTCTCCGTGAGGAGCTGATCTATAAGTTATGATCTGTGTAGTATCAGCTACAGGACAAGATACGCATACTGAATAATGAATGCTTGCCTCTTTTAGTTTTTTTACGGTACACTGTTAAAGTTTTCTCCCATTGTTTCTTCCGATGCTTTTTTCCTAAATATGGCTATTCAAATCATGAACTATATTGCTAGATGCAATTTACATCTCAGAAATTATTTCATGCAGTGAATCTAAGTAAATCTCTCTCAGTCTTAGTCACCCATTTGTAATAGGTGTGACAAGCGAGAACTAGTGTGGTTGTGGCAATTTCTAAACTTCAATCTTTAATTAATTTTCACAAAGCAACTCATTTCAGTATAAAGACAGAGATATTATACATATATGAGGGGAAGGGGAATCACCAGAAGCTCTTTCTGGCAACTTGCAACAACGCATAATGGTCAGAATAATAAAATAGAAATTACTTTCATGAGTAAGGACAATTCAGGGAAACAGAATATCAAGGAAATTGAGGAATCCATATGTACACTTCATACATTTGCCAACAATGGCAGTAATATTCCATAGATCTGAACATCCTTACCATTCTTTTCATCTCTTTAGAAACTTGACTGGTGCTTAAGTGGTTATAAAAAGAGCGATCTACTCCCCAGTGAGGTGGGTTGTGACCAATAGAATTAGTACGCTGGCGATTCATTTTTGCTATTGTTGCTTTCTCATCTTTCTAGAAAAAGGAAACGAGATAAAGAATAAAATTTTCAACCATTACACTGTAGAAATGAAATTCAGCATACAAACAGGGATTAATCTGGGAAAAAACTTAAATTTTGCTTCCTAATTTGTCTTTAATCCCCTCCGCCACTATAATAGCCAATTAATTTTTTGTTAATTTTGCCTATCTAGACATTCCTTCATTTATGATTTTCTTGGAAAATAGAGTTTTTGTTTTGTTTTCACCATAATTATACTGCTGTTTTTATCATTATTAATTATTTTAAAAACTCTTTTCTTGGGATACCCAAAACATTTTCAGTTTGCAAAGGTCAAAATGACCTTGTTTCAAATTCATAATCAGGCCATGAAAAGGTTGCCACAACCAGCTCAAAATAGGGTACTTCAAGCTCAAAATATTTCCAATGTAAAATGTTTTATAAATTCCTATCCTTTCTACTAGACCAGAAAAATCATTGTACTCATCTGTATGTGTGCATGAGAGGAAGACTAGAAAAACTGTAAGTACAGAAAAGGGACAGCAGGCAAAGAAGTAAGGCAAACTTTTCCTTTGTTCTCTGTGCAAAAGTACAGTTTTTACAGCCATTTCAAGTTTAAAACAAAACTTAAATATACACACAGTTAGTTAATTCTCAGTTTGCATTAGACTATACAATATACACAATAGTTGGATTAATTGTGGTATACAGCATATTCTTTACATTTCTAGAGAACAGATTTTCGCTTTTAATTCATAAAAACAATTACATTTTAAATTTGCATCTTTGGGGCTGTATTCTCTCTCCGAATCCTGTAATACTGAAATGTATTACCCATAGTTCTCTACTTCAGGGACACTTATCTTGGCCATGGCTGGTTACAGCAGGATACATGGAAAAGGCCATCTAAATCAGCACAGTCCTACTGCTAGTTTTTGAGATACACAGTTTGGGAAGCTTTTTCTTAGAGTACAGTTTCTTAGTCAAAGATACTCAGGAAAATGGAAAACTTAATATAATGCAGACTTATCCATACTTGTATCTCTGTGGAGTCCTAACCAATTGGGGTGGTGTGGTGTGGAGACTATATAATATTTATATATTAAATAGGTAAAGAGACTTTATAATGGACTATCAAATTTGGTACCTCGAATGTTTCAGGTGATAATTCTCTGCATATTGGTTTAGGATACTTGGGGATAAACAACCCCTTTAGAGTAAACTTATGTAAGAGTATATAAAGTAACAATTAACCAATCTGGGTAATGATCAGAGATGGGATTCCACCAGTATAACAACCGGTTTGGTGATTCGTACGCTCCACATTTTAAAAAGGCAAGCCCATATTTACCTTCAACTGCCGCCTCTGTGAACAAAACAGCTGAGGCGCAGCAAACCTTTCTGCTGCGCGAATCAGCTGTGTTCTAAACAAAGGCATAAAGCAAAGGAAAGAACAGAGGCGGGCGGGCAGGCCCCCTTCCTTGTCACAGTGAACTGGTTCAGAGCAAGCTGAACATGGGAACAAGGGGTTCTCCTGATCCGGTCCGAACCGGTAGAATCCCACCCCTGGTAATGATCCAATTTTCAAGCTCCTGTTCGCTCAGATGGAAATATGCATAAGGGAGAGAAAAGCATTGATGTGTGGAAGAAATGCCACACAGAGCTAGAATATCTGCATCTCCTGCACCCATTACCTTATGAACCCACCCTTGTAGATCAGTCAAGCCAGTCCTTCAGAAAGGAGCTCAGCTGTGCAGGAATCATTGACATTGAAAGAGAGGATCAAGAAGACACAGAAAGAAGAAAGCAGAGTAGCTTTAGATGTAGCTAAGAAGTAAGCTAAGGCAGAACACAGTACAGATTATAGGATTTAGGAGACAGAATACAGAAGGAGGTTTGGAATTAGTAGTAAAAGACTCTTAACAATATAATAGGTAAGATCTAGTAGTACTGCAAGTTTAAGAATCTTGTGTCCTTACTAATGACCAATGAGAAGAAAAACAACAGCTCCCAAAAGAAACCAGCATGGCTGCATAAAGAACTCTCTGATAAACTGAAGGACAAAAAGGACAAGTATAAAAAGTGGAAAGAGGGGCACACAACTAAGGCAGAGTATCAGCAAATAGCCCGAGCCTGCAAAGATGAAGTGAGGAAAGCTAAGGTTTGTGACAAAAGTAAAAAAAAAACCAAGAAAAGCTTCTTCCAATATGTTAAAGACAAGAAAAAAGTTGAGGAAACAATTGGTTCATTGCTGGGAGAAAGTGGTAAGAAGGTGACAAGCAACAGGGGGAAAGCAGAACTACTTAACTTGTGTTTTTTGCATCTATCTTTAGACAAAGGGGAAAAAACAGTCCAACCTATCAAAAACAGCACCACAAAAAAACAGATTAGGAACACAAGTTAAAATAGTGAAGAAAATGATCCTAATTTTTCTGATTTAGGTGAAATAAAATCCTTCCAAATCTATGGAAAGATGGATTTCTGATGTTTCATGTTAGCATATAATTCAGGGCAACATAAATTATTGGTGCAAAGGTACACCAATTAAATACTGAGGTATTTAGAAGGGACAGGTCCAGAGATGGGATTCTACCAGTTCTGTCAGGCTTTGTAGAATCAGTAGCTCTGAAGAGCAGCAGACATAGAACCAGTTCTATGTCTGATGATGTTTTTGCCCACCCGCCTACCCGGGCTCTTACCTGATCTTTATTTCCTGATTTTTCAACTTCAGCTGCCGTGCGAGGCACAGCTGCAGTTAAAAAAGCAGGAAAAGAGGGCTGTTTCAAAGGCTGCTTCTCTGCACGCAGCGTGTTGATGACGATTTACAAGCGCACGTGCACAGTGAAGCACATCATAAATCACTGAACCTCGGCGGTAATTAACTTTGTCGTATCCCACCCCTGGACAGGTCCTTATATGTTGATGTGTTACTTATACAGATGATGATTATGATGATTTTCTTTGAAACTACTGTATAAGAAAAAAACGCCAGAATGATTTCACCCATAGTGAATGTTTATTCAAATAATCTAAACATGACCACAATAAAACAGGAAAATTCCAAAAACCAATTCATGGAAAATCTTATTCATGCTCTTTACTTCTATATAGCTATATTAGAAGCACTGTGTACTCTATAACAGCTCCAGCTATAGACCTTTTGTGCCAGAAAATAAGAAAAACATTGGATAACCACCAACACAGAGGTTTGGAGATTCTAAAAATACAATAACATGAAATCATTTTTAGATTATGTATTTGGTTAATTTTTTTTTACATTTTGAAATAGCCACAGTGATTTATTTTATATGCCTAGCCCATCTGCTGCCCTCCAGCTAAAACTGATTCTAAATCTACACATTTCAAAAAATATATCTCATTAGATGCCAAAAAAGGAAGCAAAAACAAAACATTATTCTATGGCAAATACTATTCTGCAAACATTATTTATCTAAAAATATTTGAAGTTTAAATACTACTGATGGCTTGCTTTATGAAATGAGTAATGGAAAACAATAGGTTCATGTCAGAAAAGGAAAAATCCCTTACTGCAAATGAATGTTTATCGATTGTTCTTATATGGAATGAAACTAAGAAAAGACAAGGGAGGGGCATGGGGGGAAAGGCTCATTATGTTGCTATGGCAAAAACGAGAATAACTATTCAAGCTAATAAGAAAAACTTCTGCATATTCTGGGTCATGAACAGATCCTGCCATGCTGCTTGCTTCCATTCAGTCAATACACTATGGGAAAATGTGTGCACTTTTTGCAGGTCAAGCAGCTTGCACCAAATAAAGCTCACTCTGCATACTTGCCAGTGTTGCTGGGAATTGTAAAACTTCTCTGCAAAAGCCTTCCCAAATTCAGATTGCTGGCAAGTGTGTTCATAGTTCTCTTGAAAAATGTAGCCCTTGTAGCAACTCATTTTGTCTGGCATTAAGAATTAGAAACTGAAAACTTACTTACTCCACTCCTAAGACTGATCTCAACTATCTTTCAAAAAGTTGAGAAGTGAGTTCGGAAAATGGTAGTTTCATTCTGGACTTAGGGCAATGATTACAAAGAAGCACAATTAAATAAACCAGGTTTATCATGAAGAAGTATCTGTTTAAGAACCTCAAGTCTTCCAACATAATAATGCAATATTTATAAAAGTCACAACGTTCAAGTAGATTTTTCTCCTTTATAAATAGGAAAAGAGGAATTCAAAAATTCTAAATAATTTGTGTGGCGACATATAGGTGCCCAGACTATTTATGGGAGTAAACCTAGAATGCCATCTAAGAAATATTGCATTATTCAGAAGCAAACATGGTTGAAAGAAAAGCACTTTTACCAGGGGTCAGAAATTAAGTAATGCCCTCACCGGTTATAAATCTATACCATAAGGAAAACAGCTGAAGTCATGCTTGAGGCTATTTATAGAACTTCCTTTTCTTTCTCCGTGTGCCTTTTGCTCTACTGTGGGAGATTTATTATATTATAAAGTCAAATTCTAGTAGTATAAGTGACCTTCAGAGTAGCCAGTAGCTATTTTCTTTTCCAGAAGAGACTATGTATGTACATGAAACTAAATAAGGTCATCACTTTAGAAAAAGAAATATTTATATATTATGAAGCAATGTGCACACTGAACAACTAAACACCACAGAATTACAGACCAGAAGATTAGCAAGTTAAAAACTCTAATGGAGGGGATAATGGAAGCTAGAGTTGCTGGTACAATTTACATTGGCACTCAGTTCATGTAAATATGCAAAAAAATTTTCCTCTATTGTCTCGCAGCAGAAGAAAAAAAAGGAAACGTAGCAACATTTTATTTATAACATTTTATTTATAAAACTAAACAAAAATGCCTCACAAAATTTATGTTAACCAAATAGGGATGGGGTGCTTTGTAAATACCCCGAGAATGTGAATTTCCCCAACAATGAGTAACAATAAAGGAATATATTTTAAAAAGTCTAATAAATATTGACTCATTTTTATTGGTGGATAATTTTTATAATTTTGTGCTAAATTTATAAACCTACAACTTTCAATATTAGACTTTCTGAAATCAGAATGATTTGAGTTTCAGAAGAGATGGTTAAAACAGTAATGAAAGCCTTAACATTTCATTATATAGATGTCACATGTTCAGAATAATTTAAAGTATGGCAGAGCTTTCTGATTGGAGAAGGAAATCTCTATAAAATAATTCAAATATTAGTTCCCCAATCTTCTATGGAAAAGTAGAGATTGAGGAGCTGAAATAGAAATTTCTTGCACTGGATGGGATTTGTCAATGTCCTTTTCATCCTAGGGGCAAACATTTCAGACAGAATGCAAACAGAATAAAAAGACTATGAATGTATACAAACTTATTATAATGACTCATCAGCTGTAACACTCTGCTATATGCCATTTCAGTAATGATTACTTCAATCCTATTTGGTTCTTACCCGTTTTTGGCTGCATTGGACAATGAGGAAAGTCTCTATACTATGCTCCTTGAGGTAAGCATTGCGTTCCCCTCCAAAGCCCAACTCCACTTCATAATCACCATTCAGGTAGTTTAGCGTAGCTTTTGTTATGTGGATTCGCCTTGATCACAGACAAAAGACAATCAAATTGTAATATTCATTTGTTAGTAACAGGAATCAAGTAGTAAAAATTTTAGAATGGGTTAGATTGCACTGCATTGCTACCCTACAACTACATTTTTTTTTCCATGATAATTTTTTTCTCCACTGTGCAGGGCAAAAGTCCTTATATGGGCAATTTAAAAGAAAACATCTATTTGTGTTGGTGAAGTTTTCTTCATGGAAAAATACACGTATTTCACCAATTTTGTCTCTCTTTTCTAAGAGAGATACCTGAATGTGAAAACATAGCACAAATCTATGTTTCATGGAATATTTCTCCAATCAAAGGAACTGCCTGAATCGCTGGTTTATAAAGAGCAACTCAGAGAGATGTGTTTCAGTCTCCTTAATTTAGTAAGAACATGTGAAAGCACTATGTGGCTCTAGCAATTCTTTGGAGTTTGCCAAGTGTTCCTCTCTGATATAGAGACAGATGGAAATATTTCCACTGATCTGCATTCTGACTGAGAGCTCTTACCCTGCTTTGCCACCGGCTTCCATGTGATTGGCTAATGTGACATCATTTGACCACACATCAAACTGCCATTTCCTGAGGCCCAAAACTCCGCAGTGGACTCTCCCGCTGTGGATTCCAACTCGCATATTCACATTGACACCCGTCACTTCTCGTACTAATCTGAGGAAAGACATAGGGATAAAGAAAGACCATTCCCAGACAAATAAAACTAAAGGAATGTAAACATTTATAATAGCCGATTTTGCCTAAATATACGTAAAGATTGCAATTCAACTCAATCAGACAGAAAAAAAATGGCAGGCTAGCTAGACAAGCGGGTCAGAGGTGTTCTCAGAAGATGAAGTCAGTGAGCTTTCAAGTGGCAAAGACAAAACAAAAAGCATACACAACCCTCTGGTTTCCATTTCAAAGCCAGCCATAACTTGCCGATTCTAATGAACTTTAATAGCCATGTTGCAAAGACAGAAGGGAAAGTGATTACAGAGCCCCATTTGTTCATACTACCCCAGCATCAAACTTCCCACATATGAAACACAATACATATGTGAAACAACTGCTTCAGTGTGATATATCTAGAGTTCTGTTATAATTGACCAACAGTTATTTCTTCTTTAGTTGTTCCAACAGGGTCCAATGTTTTTTAAAAGATTGCTCCCAAAATTATCATGTGTAACCTTTGTGGAATTTTGATTTCGAGAACAAATGTTTATTAGGAGGAACACAACAATTTGAAAGCAGATTATATCTCAGGATTAGGGAGAAATCTGTTAAGATTACTCTTGCCCTTGGAAGACCTTAAATGATTAGTTAGTTGAAAATGTTGCTATAGCTGCTTAGTATTGTATTGGCCAGGATTAGTATTGTTGTACAACCTGGGGTTTAACAGTCCTTTTCAAAGGACAAAACATATCTCGTAGGGCAGATTCTTTCTCATATCAAGTATATAACTTTGTGACCATAATCTGTATCCTTAGATTCTCTCCAGGTCCTGCCACCTTCTTGCAAAATGCAATTTATTGATAGAGCAGATCATTACAGACTACTGTAATGTTCCAATTCTTAAGCCACAAATGGAAAACTTATAGCCCTCAGGAAACATATGACCCTCATATTTTCTTTTTACAGACATAGACATACACACACATTTTAAAGGATTTTTAAACACTACCCCCCCTCCCAAAAAAAATCCTTGAAAAAAATCCTTAACTACAGAAAGATTCTGTGGTCATGCCTTAAGCATTTCTTACATAAGAATTTTATGCAATATACTGGCTAAAACAGATCTTCATACAAATTCAGTAAAGTTGACCATGTCTATTTTGCAATAGCAACAAGACTTATATACCATTTTATAGTGTTTTACAGCCTTCTCTAGGCAGTTTTACAGAATCAACATGCTGCCCCCAGCCATCTGGGTCCTCATTTTACCCATCTCAGAAGGATGGAAGGCTGAGTCAACCTTGAGCCTGGTGGGATTTGAACAGCCAATAGTCAGCAGAAGTGGCCTGCAGTACAGCACTAACCACTGTACCACCAAGGCTCTTTATATATTTCAAACATAATGGGGACATTAGAGGATAACACCAGCTTCCTCAGATCCTAACAATCTATCAGTTATCTCTGCAAATGCATTAGTAAAATGCACAAGTCCTTACACAGTGATAGAATTAAAGGAACTGATGGCATCTATCTTTGTCTTTCTAAGTTCTCAAAGAAGATGAAAGACAAATATATAAAACAAGAATTTGCAGTAGATCCCTCAAACACAGCTTAGTCCTTCCCTTTCACAATTGTACTATTTAAAAGATAGATATATACACTGGTGACAGCTGGATTAATTGTTAGCTTCATGCATTGGACAGAGGATCATTACTCATTACTGCATTATTAACTTATATAATTTTGCAGATAATTCCTTAGTGGCCAATCACTGCTATACACTGGTCTCTCCTATGCAGTCGCAATACCCAGGATGTGGATGTAAAAAGGAAATATATGGATGAACTCTATGGAGGAAAGGAAATCTAATTTGAAAAGGAGATCTATGGAATCTATGGGTGCTACTTGCTTATCTGCATGAGCATAGACTATTGTCATTTTTATCATTATTAATTTATCCCAGACCTTTTGCATGAACGAAAACAACAGTACTGAGAATAAGTAGAAAAATCAGGGAAAGTAATTATGGGCCACTTGCTAGAAACATGTGCAACTAAGTAAAATAATGCCCTTAAGAAGGGATTCTTTGAAAACAATTTACAGCTATTATGGCAAATTAATCCCATTTAACTTCTTGAATGTTATTTTAAAATGTGCTTTGTAGTTGTGGCTAATGAGCAGATTTTGTTTAAAGCAACAAATCTTTAAGAATTAGCAAATGTGTTGCCAGGTTATTTAATTGCATTCCAAACACTACAGGAAATCTGGAAGGGTCGTGGGTCACATAGAAAACAATACACTGATATAAAAATTATATGGAGAAAGTTATACCTTTGAGAATAATACAAACTTTTTATGAAATTAAAGATCTGCCAGGTACTGTATACATCACTATAATTTTGAAAGGTGGCGAAGATCCACTGCACATCTAGAATCTCTGTTAGCTGTTTGACACTAAGATTTGTGGAGTTATGTTAGAAAGATTACAGAAGGTATTCCCTCTAACAATTCATCCTAAACAGTCAGTCTCAAAAAAAAGCATTGTGTCTCAGTCAATACAAGACTTGAGGTTTCTGTAATAGCTTTGCATGCAAATAAACATCAACCATTTGGGCTGACCTCACTCTATGCAGGCTTTGATTTGATTCAAATCTAATTCTGGGTTCAAATTAACAATGTATTATTATAATTCATCTGTTTATGTAATTACTAATAAGTACATCTGGCTAGTGATTAAACTATATCAAATATGTCCTAATAGGTACATCTGGCTAGTGATTAAACTATATCAAATATGTTCTTTATCTCCTCTAATTTTAATTTGATGCTGGAATTGTTGGCATGTCTAATAAAACAAACTGGTGAAATTCAGGGAGTCTTAAATTTAAATATAAGATATTATATGCAATTTTTTTCCAATGATGATTAAGAAAACTTTTATTTCAATCTGAAAGTATTATACTGCGTAAATAGTAACGCTGAATAAATGAAATATTATCCTAGTCAACAAGACATTTCTGAGCAAATAGTTGTTGTTTATTGTCCAGAATCTCTTACCATATATACCTGGAAATTATTGCCTCCTGGAAAATATCCTGTTTAAGGCATAAGAATATTTCAATAGTAATACTCAGATGAATTAGGATATTAAAAGAGATGAATATCTAATGGTTTGTGGGGAAGTATTAATATTGTAAAATTAATTTTGCACCAAAATTGATATATTAATACAGAAATGCCTACTTTCCACTTAAATATTTTAAATATATTAATACATTAATGACCATTTCTTTATGAAAGTAAAAAATTCTGTTCAAGTACAGCTCCCTTATGATCAGGGTTTTAATTTTCTAGCTTTAAATAATGCCAAAAGCATATTTGTTAACCACAATCAAGTCCTGGAATAAAAATGATATCATCTATTTATAACTGTGGGCTCAGCTTCAGAGTTAATATTGAGCGCCCATATGATCCTGGAAAGTTTTTGGTACTAATCATAGCAGAAATTTGGTTACTCTTCAGTGGTCAATTTCATTCAATTGGACAAAAAAAATTAAATTTGATTTTTTTTCTTGTGAGAATATAATACTTTGAAGCAATTGTTATTAAAAATAAACGGTAACTTTTTTGCCTAAAAAAAAAAAAGAACCATCTTTTAGTAACAGTATTTTTAAAATGTGAGGCTTTACAAAAAGAATACAATTTATCCAATGGAATAGAATGATAATGAACACGGATGAAATGTTTAAGGTTAATCATTAACAGGTTCTCACAAAGTAGCATTCTAACATCTCATCCAGTTCTGTTCCTTTGATGTGTATGTGATGGTATATATAGAAAAGGGCCTGTCACACAATCCAGAGGTCTAAATGGAGTTTAGTGAGGTTGTTAATAAAGTATGTGGCATTTGCAAAGACTTGCACTATGTTTACAACAAGAGTTGGAAATAGGTGTGGAGGAGTACTCCATTCTTTGTTTACAAATTGTCCCTTGTCAGCTTTCAAAAAACCTGGTTCCTGTTTTGTGTGGGATTAAAATTATTTAACAATCTTTACCTCATTCTAAATCTGGAGTGAGAGACTTTCTGTTCTCACTACTCCTCCGTCTTCCCTGATGAAGAGAAAATGCTTTTCAGATAAATGAAAGTAATAAAGATTAAAAAGCTGAACTGTGAGGCATTATAATTGCTGGACCGTTCAGGAAGCTCTTTTGATAATTTAACACAGCTTTTTTTGCCTTGCAAACTTTTAGCAATTAGTTGATAAAAAGAGTAAGAATTTAGAAAGTTATTAAATTCTTTACCTTTGAACAGAAATCTACAAGTTTCCCTGAAATAATAGGTGAAATTTAGAAAAAGTAGGGTGCCTCTACATTCTATTAAAATTAATGGAAGTAAACAATCAATCAAATACTTGTGTTACATTAATTTTAAGGTACCTTTTGGTATCCAATAACATAATAGGTCAAAACAACTCTAGTGTCTTTCCCAGATGATGGGATTGCAATTTCCGGACTCTGTGTGTGTGCGCGTGCACACACACAAACACACACACACATGCCTTTTGAGATTTGGCATGCCCTGGAATCAATCTAGCCTTGAGGGAATTTAACTGGGGTGGGCATAGCCTATTATTATGGCTTACATGGAAGCCAACCTACCTGCAGATTTTCTGACTCTGTGTTCATATAGAATAGATGCCAGAAAATGTTTTTAGCATGGTTTATGCTATGTGAAGCAAATTGTTAGCTAAGCAAAACCCTTCACAGCTCCAGTTGGTACAATTTTAGCTATGTATCAGAGTATAGGTAGTCCTTGACTTATAACCATTCATTTAGTGACTGAATGGCACTGAAAAATGGCACTGAATGGCACTGAAAAAAGTGACTTATCATTGATTTGCACACTTACGACCACTGCAACATCCTGATGGTCACATGATCAAAATTTGGTTGCTTGTCAACTGGCATTGAATTAATGACAGTTATACTGTTCTGGGGTCATGTGATCTTCCCAACTGGCTTCTACCAATGAGGAAACCAGATTTGCTTAATGACTGATGATTCATTTAAAAACTGCAGTGATATGCACAACTGTGGCAAAATAGGCTGTAAAATGCAACTGATTTTTAGGCTCAATTGTGGTCATAAGTCGAGGATTACCTGTAGAGGGGAAATGTGGATATTGATGTGGAGCAAGATTTCAATCTAAGTGTCATCCAGATTCAGACTGGGCCTCTAAATAATATCTACTTCAGGTCAAAAGCTTCTATTGACAAAGTTGTCATCAATGTAACATTTTGAAGAACTGGATATGAAACAAGTTCATGATTATTACTGATATTAGGATTTATTTTTTATATTTATATCTTGCCTTTACTCTAAGGAACCCATAAGCACTCACTCCTTTTTAAAAATTTTCATTATAATAACCTTTGGAGCAGCGATGCATTCAGCAGATTGTTCTGGAAAACCAGTAGTGGAAATTTTGAGTAGTTTGGAGAACTGGCAAATACCACCTCTGACTGGCCCCTGCCTCCCAAGTCCCAGCTGATTGGCTGGGTCTTCTTTTGTTGCCCTGCACAGGAGAACGGAGCTGGAAAGCAGGTTAGTGGGGTGGGGTGGGAATGGAGATTTTACAGTATCCTTCCCCTGCCATGCCTAAGCCACACCCACAAAGCCACACCACGCCCACCAAGCCACACCATGCCCACACCAAGCCACGCCCACAGAACTGGTAGTAAAAAATTTTGAATCCCACCACTGCTTTGGAGGTAGGCCAGACTGAGCTCCAAGTTATCTACTAATCTCCATGTTTAAACAAGGTTTCTACAGCATCAATCCATCCCTTTAATTGCTACGTCACATCACCATACAACATTATGGAAAATGGTGCCAGTATACATTTGCATTGTTACTGAATGAGCATTCCAACTGAGGGTGTTATTAAACATCAGTCTATATCTAACCTCTCCAATCTGGTGCCTTATCATGTGGCACCACTACAAAACCTAGAATTCCTATCAGACTGCTGACTGGGAATTTCAGAAACCAAAGTTTTAAAGCATTTGGAATAATCATTTGATATATGGTCATTGCTCCACCTTGGGGATATGTATACTTACGAAATGGCTTCTATCATATCCATTCCCATTTCAACACAGCAGTGTGCATGATCTGCTCTGGCCTCAGGTAATCCAGATACACAGTAATAGCAGTCACCTAAGATTTTTATACGTAAACAGTGATTCTCCTGCAAAACAAGCGGGGGGGAATGTACTTTTATTTCACGATCCAGGATTTTGACATGTTGCCTTTGAAGGCAATGGACAATTTGCAATAGACCAAATACAACACCACCATAATTGAGGAAGCAAAGGATGAACCCTACTTACAGCAGCAAGCTTATCAAATCTGGCGAAGAGTTCATTCAGTGTCATGACCAACTCCTGAGCAGTACACTGGGAAGCGAGACTGGTAAAACCCTCAATGTCTGCGAAGAGGATGCTGTGGGAGAGAGAGTAGGAAAAAGAAGAGGAGAGGCAGACAGAGTTCAATAAAAGATACACTTCAACTCATTTTAATAGATTCTACTTTATCTCCAAATGTGCAGATAGTTCAGGAAGGGTGTTTATAATGAACATGAGCAACCTGGTCAAGGCATACGTTATATCTACTGCAAAAGTCTTGTGATAGTCAACAATTAGCAGACACTTGTTTGATTGTTTGCTCTTTGCTGTACAAGTTCCAGCCTAAAACAGAGCGGGGGTGCTCAGGTTTTTCTAGAAGAGAGCCCTTCTTAGCCTTGGAATGCATTTGAGTGAATTCTCCAAAAATAGTTTCTTAGAGTATTAATTTGAGTATTAACACATACACACACACACACACACACACACACACATTATCCATTCATAATTGTTTTTGCCTTCTTCTGTCACATTAACAGTTACAATTAGTTAGCAATTCTAGAGCTTTCTCATTACTGCACCCAGGGTTTTCATGTGTGACTTTAATCTCTGACTATATAGTATATACATAGTATATGCATAATATATAGTACATACATAGTATATACATAATATATCATAGTATGTATGTATGTATGTATGTATGTATGTATGTATGTATGTATGGTATTCAGCTTTGTTAGGGTATTTTCCCACATCATTATATTGCATTATACATTATAATGACGCCGGAAAATACCTGAACAAAGCTGAATACCATACATGTAAGTACCCGCGAAAACTTAAGAATATATATATATATAGTATATAGCTTCAAGACAATATTTTACATATTCTAAGAAATTACAATTCTCATATTTTTAAGAATTATATCCAAATTCTTCAACTTATATGAAATATACCGTATACCTTCATATATAACATAATGTCACACCCATATACCATTCGTGGATAAGTAAAGTAAAAGTAAAGGAGTCCCTCAGGATTTTACTTCGCTAGTTGTTGCTGACTCTGGGGGCAGTGCTCACCTCTGTTTCAAGGCCATTGAGCCAACACTGTCTGAAGACATTTCTACGGTCATGTGACCAGCATGACATCATGGGGAGTGGGTACCTTCCCACCGAAGTGGTACCTATTTATGTACTTGTAATTGCATGCTTTAGAACTGCTCAATTGGCAAGAGCTAGGCTGAGGATAAAAGCTCACCCCACCATGTGGCGCTCAGGCTTTGAACCTGGTTTACTAGCTTTCCAATTGACAAGCCCAGCACCCTAACTGTTGAACTACCATATTGCCATTCATGGATAAGCTGCCCCTCATGTATACTACAGCAACGTAATATATTTGATATCTAATTTAATAACATTAACTCAAATATTATGTACAGCTACATTAATCTGGATAATATCGAAGGTCAGAACATAAAACTCATCCACTTTCCATTTGTGACTCACCTAACTGCCCACCACTGAATGCTTCAATACCCTTTCCACTTATCACTTGAGTCTGCAGCGTGAAGTGACACTTAAACTTCAATTCAAGGTTAATGGATAAATATATAAAATAATTCCACTCATTCTTTTCAAAATTGTGATTATTTCCAGTGAAGTAATTCTCAGAAGGCTGTGGGTAGAGTTTATCCACAGAGCAACAGCAATGTAGTTTCTCCTGTCCTTGAGATGGGAGGAAAATATACCAATATGAAAAACACTGTCCCAAAGTTTATTTTTATTGCATGGCAGCAACAAGGCTGATCAACGCAATCTGGAAGTATCATCAGAACAAAGACTGGTAAACCCCTTTCTCTTCTTATACAACATCACATATTGACAGGAAACTCAACCATTGACACTAGTCTTAATACATAGTAGGGCAGATTTTTAGACTGAGCAAACATGTTTATTTGTAGAGATTTCTTGTTAATGTTTCATAACATCCTTATCATGGGCAGAAGTCAGGTCACAGGGCCTTTTTAGAAACTAACTTTGGGAGAGCCAAAGCGATTAAAAATAAAGATTTCTGCACAACACAATCATTCAGCAGTAGACTTCTTAAAATATGGCAGCTACCAATCTTACGCATGGGGACTAGACAAATTCTCAAAGTGTATAACTATCAGTTATACTAGCATGTGGGTATCAGTTATTTATTTGTATCCTGCCTTTATTATATTTACAAATAACTCAAGGTGCCAAATATATTCAATGCACATTTTTCCTCCTGTTTTTGCCACAACAGCAACCCTCTGAGGTGAACTGAGCTGAGAGCAAGTGATTGGCCCAACATTACCCAGCTGGCTTTCATGGCTAAGGTGAGTCTTAAACTTACAGTCTCCTGCTTTCTAGCCTGGTGCTTTAACCACTAAACCAAACTGATTATACTAGTATGTTCATAAGAATTGTTGGGGGAAATGAGAAGATATTACTACCCCATGCCTCACTTGTGGGCTTCCCAGGTATTTGATTGGCTTTAGTCTGATCTATCCGAATTTGACATTCTCACATGGGTAAGGGTTGTTGTCATTTCTCAATTCCTATGTGGCTGATTTTATTTTTTGCCAGAACAACACATTAGAACTCAACTGACCCCTGGCTTCCCACTCTATCCTGTCAGTTCTGAGAAATAAGATATCAGCTGTTAAATAAGTTTGCCATCTAAAAGTCTGATTCTATCAAATCCTATTGAAACCAGATTTTGCCACATACCGCCTGTCCCATTCAAGTAAAATGTAACTGAAATACCGTGAAAGGAGCAAAGGAACAACATCACTTCAAGGAAAGAAAGAGTGCCACAGACCAAATAATTCTGACTAAATAACTGGCCTAGTTTCCCGAATAATACCCTGAACAAAAATAGAAACCAATTGACATACTAAAGCTAAGAGCTTTATTTAAAGTGCTGGGGAACACTGCCGATTCAGCCTTAGTTAAAAGCAGCTGAGTATTGTGGAAGCACCTTACAACTTTCTTATTCCTAGTCCTGACAGGAATAGCGTCAGCAATTTCTGCTCTCCTTTTTTTAAAACTCTGCAGCAGAAAACTAAAAAAAGACTTTTAAACAAAGCAGGGACTTCCAGATTGGGTGGCCTGAATCCTCGGAAGAGCCGTGGATGTAAAATCAATCAAACAAACAAGAATAGGGCCTTAGGTGCTCAACATTAAAGGAACTGGGGGTGGGGAGGAGGGCAGGTAGAAGACAAAAATAGACAACATCTTCCCCCATCTTTATTTTCCATTTTTTCTGAACAAGTGGTTAACTTGTTCAGTTTTGACTTTGCACTAGGGCAGGGGTGTCAAACTCACAGCTTGCGGGCCGAATGCATTACATGCTGGCCCCTGCCCAGTTTAGCGAAGGGGACAAAAGTACCCATACGTCATGTGACGACGGTGTGATGATGCGAGTTTAACACCCCTGCACTACGGTTTCATACTAGGGACTGTATTACGCAAATACTCTGCATTTCAGATAATTTGTATCAGGAAGAATGAGAATGATGAATGCAGGGGCTCAGAGTTCAGCTAATGATTCAAGATGCTCCTCATAATTAAGATGCAAGGGGAAAAATATGTTCTTTATCCAGGCCTCACTTCCATTTCCAGGCCAAGCCTGAAAGGTCACCTCCAGTCACTCACTCTGAAATCTTCTCTTAAGGACAGAAGGTTGTCTTAAATGTTGCAATTGATATTGTTAAGATTATTCTTTCCAGCCAAAGCGGTTTCAACAAGAAAAATGCCAGAAAGAAAAGGTCCAAGACAAATGTCATCTTAATAAGGGACTCCAAGGACAGCAGGAAATCCACCTTATCTGAGATCGCCAAGGAGGATCCCAGCAGAACCTTTTCTCTTACTGGTTCAAAGAAGCACCTCTTACCGGGTTCAACTTCCTTTTCAGGTAATGGTGGACCAAGTGCAGCCTATACTCTTCAAAACAATTGCCAAAAGTACTCCTGCTTTACTGCTATTTTAAGGATGCCCCAACACCTGCCAACTCCAAAGCCCCTCTTTTCTCTGATCGATAACGTGTTAGTAAGACTGTAAGAGAGTGCATTATGAATTTGTTCTCCTCCATAGCCATTCTTGTAAGATGGTGCAGGGTACTACATGAGGCGATCCACAGAGGGCAAAATATAATCTATTTAGTTGTAGAATTATAATGATGCCTGATATTCATAATAGCTTTTCTGAGTGGCTGAAGAGCTGATTCACACATTAAATTATCATATAAGAAAGACATGAAAAGTTGACAAGAATAAGAAATACATATTCTGTTCTCTATGGTTGCAGAAGATATAAAATCAGAATATAAGGTTTATCTTGATACCTTCTGCATTTGAGCCTAAAGGAATTTTATGGAACAACTCAGATATTCTTTCCACTCAAAATGTCACACTGAGTTAGGATTTAATTTTGTTGGTTCCTTTGTGCAAGTATCTGCTTAGAAACAAATTATTTCAAAATATAAGCTTTTGAAAAATATCTGCTCACATTTTATTTGATTCATCTTGGTCTTTCTGTTCTTCAAGAGGAGCATTTGACATTTAAAAGTCTACAAAATTCACCAAATGCTACTGTCCTTTTTCAGCTTAAACCAAGACCATCATCATTCTGGAGTCAGGAGCCCCTTCTGAATCTTAATGATCTCAAATCTGACAAATTCTCTCCCCCCCACCACACACCCAACAATTCTTTGCTACCATTCATAGTTAATTTACAGGTAGAAGTGAAAGAAGGGCTATATCAGTGAAAGCCAGAGCTCCTTTATTTCTGCAGCAGGGATCACGTAAAAAATAAAGCAATTCTGATTGGCATAATACCAATCCTCTTGTTAACTGATTATTTCTCCTGTTCATAGCTTGTCACATCTAATCCTTCAGTTCAGTCATCCCAATATTTTTCTGTCTTGCTGCTTATCCTTCCCCACCCCAGTCTTTTTTCATTATTATTTTTAGGTGTATAAGAACCACTGCAATCATTGGTATGTTTCCAATGCCATATTACTTGGTCAAAAGACCTATGTCACCCAGCAAGGAACAACATATTG